AGATTATACGGCCTTAAAATAGAAACCTTCTTCGCTCTCAACCTTTTTCCAAGCACGTAGAACAAACACAAACCTTTCCGGTTGATTAAAGTGTTTTCCTCACAATCACAGAAGTTTGGAAAGAAGGAAGAGCCCTTTGATTAGCCACCCAAATTATGCAAATCCACCTTAAGACGAAAGGGTTAATAAGAGTGGGTTTTGTGTCAATATATTTATTTATTTTTTGTTCAAAAACCAACATTTCTTTTATTAAAATGTTTTCAACCGAAAGATACAAATATAAATAAATATTAAAACATGCATACAAGACCATGTACATATATATCTCGAAATACAAGTGCATTTATTTATAAACATGTTGGAAATTGAAATTTATGAGGTCACTAGAAATTGCATTCAATTTCTTGGAATAAACTCATAAATTCCCAATGATTAGATACGTTCTTATCGAGCCAGATTATAAAAAGTTGCCAATACACTTTCTCACACCTGAGATAAATAATACAACCCAATTTACGCCTGAAGGTCAGGTTTTTGGTTTAATAACCTTTTCCCCCTCTCCACTTGGCTCTTGAAAAACAAAAGAACAATGAATCAAGTTGCTAATTAAAATGGAAGAGTCGTCGACCTGCTAGAAATTACGGGCCATAATTTCAAATTGAAAAAGTCTCTTGTCAAAAGGAATTATGGATGAGCCAGCATTTTCGAGGCGGACTAGAATATTTCATAAATTATTTCTCATTTTTTTCTCCTCTTTCTTTTTTGAGTAAAATTCCACCTGCAAATAATTCGAAATTCTTTATAGAGAGAGCGGGAGTGAAGAGGCATTGGCATGTCGAATATTTTCAGAGGTGAAGGATGCTTTTAACCCCGGAGATCCTGGGGCCTAAACCTGGTCCTGACTTGCGTCAATTATTCCCCCCACCCATTGAGGATGACTGTTATCTGACGCCCAACATTTCCCTTTCCAGAAATAGATGAATTCTCATCCATCTATCTATCAGTTCCGTGCCAGCTTCCAGTTCTAGGATAGAACGCATTTAATTTATAAAAGTCACGTGAGAGGCACGTTTTTTATGTGGCTTTTAGATGGTTTTGGGATGGAAAAACCCTCCCCAATCGGATTTGGCCTCCCTGACCCTGATTTGATGAGTTTTAGCAACCCTCCTCCCAAAGGGGGTTTTAAAAACCCAGAAATCCGCCCAAGCCATAAGAATCGTTTCGAATTGTCATTCGAGGGCCATAACTTGGGGTGGTGTGGGGGTAGCAGTTCATTGGCCAGTTTGGGCCTTTTTGGCCAGTATTTTTGGCTTTTAGCCCGGCTAGGCCCATTGCCAGCCTACATATGCTAACCAAATTTGACAGCCCGGCAAGCACTTGGACAAATAATAACTGTCACTAATCATGATGGAGTGGATTTATGCGGAGACTGATTTAGTGACTGAGACGAGTGCACTTCCAGGCTCTTTCTCTCGCATTTCGTATGCGTCTCCAGTCTTTGCATTTTGATTTATTAGCCGAGACCCCCTCTAAAGAGGTAGGGGGACTCTAGCTTCAGAAGAAAGCAAAAAGACTCGACCGGGGCCGGGCTTAAGTGAATTATATTTTATGTGTGGTGGCGCTCTCGTGTCGTGGCGACATCATAAATCACACAAAAGTCCATTTGTATTTCACACTTTGGCACGTGACTCTTTAGCAAGCGGATCTTGCGGATCTTTAGGTTTCGGTTTCTGTTTCCAGAGGCTTTTTGTTTATTTGTGGGACACTTGGTTGATGGTTTCGTAATAGAGATGTTGGAATGTGGTGGGCCTATAAATCATAAATAAGTTCTAGAAGGGCGTTACGGATGTTTAACATTGTTTTGTAGATATTTTTTTATTTTTAAAGAATTTTTAGTATCTGAGGAATGTTGTTTTTAAATTTCAAGCCTTACAAGTAAGAGTTATGACTATTTTGTTAAAGTTTTCTTAGGTGGTTTATCATAACTCTAAAACTACTGAAGCAATTGTTCTGAAACTTTTAATATTTATTTATAATTCTCCACGAAACCAATGTATATAAGTTTTATCTAGAAAAATGACCTCTATAACCCCTTAGGTATAGATTTCCTAATAATCGTATCAGGTAATTTCACTTATTTTCACATTTATCTCTCTTTAACCTTTTTTTCTGTGCAGAAACAAAGACTGTCAGCTGTCAATCCTCATAATCGATATCTAAAAGGGCAATTTCCAAAGACCCACATCAAAATAGTTCAGCAACGTCCTCTGACCCTTTCGATTGGTCTATGGAGGCTCTGGCCAGACCAGACCTTTGTCTAATCTTGTGAAAAACCAATGAAAGAACAAACGAATAGTCATAAGTTCAGGCCATTAACAATTGCGTGTTTTGCCATCGTCATCGTCATTGAATCGAATCGACTTTGCCAAGACGACTACAACGACGACGACGACATCGTTTTTGGTTCATTCGCATTTTTATATCAAAAAAAAAGTTTAGCTTTTGGCCATTAAATTTTATTTTTAGTTTTGTTTCTTTGGGTTCTGCTTCGTGCAAATGCAATAAATAAGTAAACAAATTAAATGCGCATAAATAACAGAAGAAAACAGAACAGCAAGAAGGTTAACACATCCAAACTATCGTGCTAATGTCCATATAAACTTTCGGATAAAATACAGTTGGCCAAAGTCTCAGACCTCAGATGGAGGCACGTGTGTGTGGAGCCACAGAAGAGAAACCCCGAAGAATCGTGAAGAAAGAAAGATAGCCAGCAAAAAATGAGTGAAAAATTCGCAAAAGATTTCGTAGCGTGAAATTTTTTGCAAATGACGCAATTTTTTTTTTGTTTTTTTTTTGCCAACAAAAACTAGAAAATAAAGAAAGACAAAAAAAAATTGAATAAAACAAAAAGCCAGCCAACTTGTCGTTTCGTTGTGACACACATCCACAAGCTGGCAAAAAAAAAAAATATAAAATAAAGAATAACAGAATTCGCGTATTTGCGAATCAGTCTGTACAAGTAGTCGGAGGCCTCTTTGCGCATAAAATTATTAGAACGATATAATTTCATTATCAGACAGCCCAGACAGCCAAGCCAGTGCCAAAGCAGAAAGCAAGCATAGAAAAGTTCATTGGCACACAGGGCGTATGAGTTTTTGGCTCAAGTATGTACGAGTACACTCACACTCTTGTGTAAAAAATATAATACTCGTATATAGATAAACACCAGCCAGATAAACAATTGCTGACTACAAAAATTCGTTTGGATGAATTTATTATTTAATTATGCTTTCCATAAGCCATCGAAAAGTACAAAGACTTGGCCTGGGAAAACTGTACAAAGTGTATCTTTGAGATACTTCTTGACTTAACGAGTTTAAGGGAGTTGTGTTGCCTTCCTTAGCCGGAAAGTCAAAGTTTATTTTGACTTTTTGGCCATTCGAGATAGAAAGCACAAAGTTTATGATTTGTGCTGGCTGGCCCGCTGAAGCGTGACTTTCACGTCGGTTTATAAATTCACAAAAAAAATAAAAAAATATATGAGAGTATAGAATAGAAATGATAATAAAACAAACCCATGTGTGGAGGGAATTTTTTCAGCTTTTGTGGAAGACAGGCTGGGAATTCTAAGGGCAGTGCTGTGGAAAAGGAAATCAAGTATACGACAAGTGGCTAGCATTCTTTCCCGCCATTTCTGACATTTTCTGACATGTTTTTGCGTGTACTGACATGCTTGAAGTATCCTTTTAGGTTCTCTAGGACTGAAGATATTTTTGCACAAGTCCACAAATATCGTATAATATATGATTTAAATTTAAAGATAAATTAGAAAAGAGTTTTTTAAATGAAACACTATTAAGTTAAATCCCCTACATGGTCTGATATGTCCTATCAAGTCCTGAGACGCTTTTAAAACTCCAAATATCTTCCTGGGTATCTAGAACTAAGAACTCTAAGATATTTTTGCATAATGGAACCAATATCATACATTATTTGCATTTTTATATAAAGATCAATTAGCAATCCTTTTTTTTTTTTTGTAGTTTTTTCGGTAGAAACCCCCCTCTTGAAGCCATCAGGATACCGTGGTTTTCATGCAAATGGATTTTGTGGCTGGATAAAAAAACTTTTTAAGCTTCTCCCCCTTCTTTGAACAAAAAAAACTGCCAAATTTGTGAAACAAAAGAGAAGCCCAACAAAAAATTGTTTAGCTTGATTTTCGGTTGTGGATTTTCAGGGGAATTTTCAGGGGAATTTTCAGCAGGAACTTTTTCTTGGCCACCTTTTTTTTGGGGCTGTTGTTTGCATATTTCAGCATTTCCCGCTGAGCCCGCTGCTGGGCGAATAAAATAATGTTTTTTGGCAAATTTTCAAAAATGTATCAATGGCAAAGTTCGTGCTCTGAGTGCTATATAGAGTGTGGGTCTGAGCCTGAGTGGGTGTGTTTGTGTGTGTGGATGTGGAAGCTTTTGTTTGTTGCATACAAATTTTATAGATTTTCAACGCCTTCGAATGCAGCTGCCAAATATCCTGCAGCCTTATATGCAAAGCTGCCTGGCCTGGCATTCTCCAGCTCGAGCTCCTGCTCCTGGGCTCTGGCACATGTGTGGCATTTTAAGTGAAAAACGCCATCGTCGAGGCTGTCGTCAACAAGCCAATGCCTCTGTGGCAGAGAGCTCTCCTTCTGCCACGTCCCACCTCCACCTCCATCGCCATCGCCATCTCCATCTTCATCTATTGTGAGAGCCAAGTGGCATTCAATAACTTCGAATGGCAGCTATTCCAGTAGGAATTTCAATAAAAATACTTTGCCTATCCTCTACCATGCCGGCATGTCCTTCTCAAACCAAAGATTGTGGCATCCAAATCGCTTAAGATTATCGACATACTTTTGCTCTAAACATTTTCATATTGCATGTAGAGGCATTAGAGGTCCTTTTAGAATATTGAAGGTTATGTAACTAAAATAATCATTTCTTTATCTTGATTTTTTCTTGCAGTACGGTCAGCGAGTGCCGACGGCAGCCTCACCGAGCAACACCAACTCGAGCAGCTCCTCGAACACGGGATCCCAGAGCGGCACCCTGAGCACCAGTCTGAGCAACACGACGAACACCAACACAAACATGGGTCCCAACGGCACGGCACAGAATCAAAACCAGCAGGGCGGCGAGCAGTTGTCCAAGACGAACCTCTACATTCGCGGTCTCCAGCAAGGCACAACCGACAAGGATCTAGTTAATATGTGTGCACAGTGAGTAGCTCAAAAAAAATGGATATCTAAAAGAATGGAAATCAAATCCCATAACTTCCCCAAACACACACAAATCAGATACAAATGCAATCAAGTCGGTCTCTGGTAAGTGAGTACGAGTGCCCTGCGGTTCTGTATCTCTTGTCTCTGCGGTCTACCTATCACATTAAATTGCATTATATCGGACATGACATAGAGCTCCCCGGCAGGCCATTATGCAAATTCATTTTAATTGTTTTTGCTGCTCGAGGCATCCACATCGTAGATGGCCTTTGATGGGTCATAGATGGCTTCCAGCAAGATGCATCTTCTACGATTTTAATTGGATATTAATTTCTAGTTATAGTTCAAGTTTTTATACTTATATGGATAGAATCTAAAACTAACTAGTATACTTCTGGATCTTGGTGGAGAATACCCCCATTGGGCATTCCAAATTCCATCCATACGAAATGAACTAATTCGAAATGTGTGTGCTGTGACCTGCTATTGATTTGCTACCCACTGCGATTTGGTACCCCAGTTCGGATGTGTGTTTGTGTGTGGATGAAGGATCCAGAAATCCATTTCCATCCGCTTGGCCTCCATCCCTTCTGCTAATGAGCGGCTTAGCCTCAGTCCATTCCGCTTGGCTGCCTTTCCATAAAATAACCAACCACCACCACCACATCCTTGGGCACTTGGGAGGTGGAAAGTAACCCCCAAAAAAAGGCCATACCATCTTGATGGACGGAGTCCAAGTTTCTGCAAACTAAACAAAATCCACTAATTAGTGCGCACGCTTCATCAATGATTTTTTTTTTTTAGACCGTGGGGGTTGCCTAAAACAACACAATAAACGCACTATTATAATATAATATTATGTGTATTACGTATACGCACTGTTGGCCACTTCATTATGGCCAATATCATGGCATGCCATTTCTTTAATGCGTAAAAAAATAACTTATTTGTGGCCGTGGCACGAACATAAAAAAATACTAATGAAAAACGCTTTGTACCCCTTATATAGTTGGAAGTCACGTAATTAAATTGAAGACTAATTTGTTTTTATATTTTTGGGTTTTTTTTTTTACGAAAAGGACTTTTCCCCTCCCAGGGTTCTGTGTCCTGCTGCAGGCAATCAAAATAAGCGGCTTATTAGTGGGCAAAGCTTGGCCCGGGGCTTTAATGTTATTATAACTATGTATTTATGGCAGGAGAGAGGGGGATTGGCAAACAAGGATCAAAATAGGGGAACGAAGGGCTAGTTGTAACTAAGAAGATATCGATTTAATTTTGCCCTGGAGGGCAGGCGGGACAGGACACGACACGGACTAAGTCAATTATTGTCGAGCATAAATGAGCAGTTGGGAGCCATGAGATAGCAAAGGGTTGTGAACACTTCCATTGCCTACTTTGCAGGGCACGAGCATAAGCATAAAAATTGCATTATAATGACACTTTAATTGCTTATGCTAAGGCACAAGCTCTGACCCCTGCCCTGACCCCAGACCCCAGCCCGATTCCAATCAGAAGAGCCAGGTGTCCGGGAGCACCAGTTGCCCACTCCGGGCTTTTGAAATATTTTGCGGCACGTGGCACCGACACGCACACAGTGTGAGAGACATGAATGTGTTTATAATCTGATTATCCATGGTGTTCCTCATGCAATATCCTTGTGATACATGCATATCCTTTTTTTGTCCAGCCAGCTTTTGAACCCACCTGTTATTTTCTCTTTCAGATATGGAACAATTATATCAACCAAGGCTATTTTAGATAAAACAACAAACAAATGTAAAGGTATTTTTTTCTTCACCATTCTCATCATTATTTTATTTATGTGTGTTTTTGTACAAGTATTATTAGTATGTGTTTCTGTACAAACAAAAAATACCAAAAAGAAAAATGTAAGAAAAGAAAATATAAACAAAACCAAAAAAACTGAAATTTCATTGATTTCTTTTTAATATTTTGTTTAAAAAAAAATGCTGAATGCTGGATATAAATATTTAATATATAAATCATTTTTCTTCTCAAAGAATCTCCTTAAAAGAGCACTCAGCATTTTCGTTTCTTAATTTTTTTTTTAAATCAAAACACAATGCTCGTTATTGTATATTGTTATACACTTTATAGTTTCCATAAAAGTATATTATTTATCCCTTGATTTGAAATTGGCAGAATTATATATTGGCCTTAACCCTTTACTCTTTCATTTGAAGTCGATTAACCTTTAATTTCTTTTTGGTTAATTTTCTTCTCATTTCACAATCGTGTCATTCATGCATTTCATTCTACTATTACCAATATCTACTGCTACTGATGCACCCAAATAATGCTAAAAAAAAAAAAGATAATTATAATTGTAAATAAGCCGATAAAAAATGTGTAAAAATTGTGTATTTAAGAAAGGCTTCTCTCTATTCAATGTGTGTGCGTGTATCGATATATAATATACTCTTTGGTTATGTTCTTCTTACATTTCCCAAGTTACTTGTATTGTGTTTTTGTTGTATTTTTTTTAATCAAATCAATTATTGATTTAATTTTCACCCGTTTTTCTTCTTCCCCACTTGTCTCTTGTTCAACACATATTTTGTTTTTGTTCGATTTTGATTTTGTTGCACGTGATCCTCCAATACGATAAATGACCGACTTTACGAAATTCTTTCGATTTTTTTTTTTCTCCCGATTGAATTCAATTGCAATTTCAATTTAAATTATTGGACTATGAATATAAACATTACTCTCTGTCTCTGCATTATATATTTTTAATATATATATATATATATATTTATACATGCAATTAAAAAAAATAAAAATAAAATTCCTACCCCCCACCCTTACCCGCAACACACACAAAAAAAAATAAAAATACGAAAAAACAAAAAACAATAAAAACAAAAACAACAACGAACAACAAAAACAAAATATGTTTTTTTGCAGGTTACGGCTTCGTCGACTTCGAGCAGCCAGCCTTCGCCGAGTGCGCCGTCAAAGGATTGCAGGGGAAGGGCGTGCAAGCTCAGATGGCCAAAGTGGGTATCTGGGTGCTTCATAGGCCGGCCATTGTACGTTTGTTTGCATGCAAGTAATACTCACCCCCCACACACCGCAAAAGTGTCCCAGCAACCCTTCCCAGAATAGCCAGAAACCAGAAATCCCAAACCCCAAACCCCAAAAACCAGAATCCAGAGTTTTCTATACCATATCATTTTTTTACATTTTTGTTTTAAACTATACTGACCTAGAAAGTGTTATATTTTTACCACAAACATATTTTTGGTTAAGAACAGACTAGGTTATCAGAGGTTTAAGTTTAAACAAAAAAAAGAAACATTATTTACATTTTAATTATATGCTTTTATGTGTTTTAATTGTCTTTATTGGTTTTGTGATAAACCCCACCAATATCCAAGTCCCAAGACCCCAAGCCCAACCCCTAGTTCGTAGTGTTGTTCCAAAGACTCTCTTTGTATAACCGTTTGTCGTTAACAAGACCACACATATATCTCTTTATAACCGATTCTAGAAAACAGCCATTTTTTTTGTTTTAGATATTAATTTTATTGTTTTGTAGTTTAATTGATAGCGTAATAAATATCTAGTGTACATTTGAATATTAATTGAAAGTAAATTAATTTATTAATGGCATTCATTAGTTCATATTTATGAAACTGAAAGTCATAAAATAAATAATATTTCTTTTTAATCTTCCTATAGCAGTTGCAAAAAAAATATATGATCCCTCCTATGAAAACAAAAAGTCATTAAGTGAGATAAATTAAAGTTTTTCTTTAGCGGATTTGTTTGGTAAATTAATTGCATTAAGCATATCGAGTACAGGTACATTTAGAGTTTAGTTATCATGAGGATTTATAATATTTATAGGAATGCTTAGACCGATCCCATTTCAAATCATTTCATCATTTAGGCCTTATCCATCAAGTTAGTATTAAAATTAATTTATTTTTTTGTATAAATATAGTATAGTTTATTTTGGGATTTTGGGAAGTCGTTGTAGTTGAATATTTTTATAATTAAGTAATTTTCCGTTAGAGTACTCATCGATTTAAGTAGAACAAGGTACATTAAAGTTGTCCTCCCCATAGCTACTATCCCCCATTTAGAAGAAACATTATAATATTTGAACAATTAAATCCAAAATCGTAATCAATAATTAGCAGCCATTTACAGAGGCTTATTGTGGATGCTGCCAGCCGGCATATCAATATAAATTTTCGGCCATTCATTCGTAAATATTAATAATTTGTAAACAAATCAAAAAGTTTTTCATTCGAAGAGCTTAGCAACTTTGTTCACTCCCCCCTATTGCTCTCTTGTTAGCTTTTATAATCCGATAGCATTAAATGCTCATTTATATACAAAAAAATGTCAAAAAACATTTAAAAAAGAATGAAAAGTTTGCTGTAAAAACACAAAATACACACGTACGATTATTTGAGTAGGAATTAACGATTGTAAGCCATAGATTTGTAAAACCAAGAAACACATACACACCATACATACATTTATAAATTTAGATAATACCAGTACATATAGCGTAAATCTCTCTTCTTCATATATATATACATATATATGATATAATATTGAATCTATATATATTCAACTGTATAAACTGTATAATCGTATTTTGAAGCTATAGCCAGCCAAGTATATAATCCAACCTCTCTACTACATCAACCTACTACAAGTTTGTTGTTTCAGTACGCAAATCGCTACAAACCTGTGCCGGCCAAAAATCAAAACCAAAAAAACCAAAAACAATCTAAACTCTAAGTATAACAAACAGATCTCATTAAACATTAAGACATAATCTATCTCTGATCAGGTATTTAACTTAGTTAAGCAACGATAAGGGAAAGAACACTTTCACTCTCTCTCAAAGAAAAGGGGGTAATGATATAGGTCTTTTGTTTATTTGTTTTTTTTTTTTTGTAAGGTATTTTGTTGATAAGTCTGTGGCATTTCGAAACATCCTTCGTCAGATCTTAGGCACACTTAACACACACACTAACACACTGACAACAGACAAACAGTCCAAAAAGAGTTGACAACAGAAACACATTTTTGGCAAGCAACTTGAATATTTACTAATGACAAAATCTCTACGTTCTTAATTTCTCTACTCCCCTCTCTTCAAAAATATATGAAAAAATAAAATAAAAACCTCACACACCATATATAAACACACACCACACATGATTAACATGCATACGCGCACAACAAAACACAACAACACACATGCTTACGCCAACTGCTTTTGTGTAACGTTTATTTGTGTGAAACCGAAACAAACAACATCCACAAACCCCAAAAAAACGAACAAATCAAACTAAACCGATTCAATTTCAACCAAACAATCAACAATATGTGAACGACAATCACCACCACAACAACAACACCCTGATCTGACCCAATTGCTTCCAAACACCACACAGCAACAGGAACAGGATCCCACAAATTTGTATATCGCAAATTTGCCGCCTCACTACAAAGAAACTGATCTGGAGGCAATGCTATCGAAATACGGACAAGTTGTTTCGACCAGAATATTGCGTGATCAGCAAATGAACTCAAAGGGTTAGTACTATAATTATTATTCCCAAAAAAAAAATATAATTAATTTTTATTGTTTAAATCTTAGGTGTTGGCTTTGCCCGTATGGAGAGTCGCGAGAAATGCGAACAAATCATCCAGATGTTCAATGGCAACACAATACCGGGCGGCAAAGATCCCCTGCTTGTGAAATTCGCCGACGGCGGCCCCAAAAAGAAGAATCTCTTCAAGACCCCCGATCCGAATGCGCGTGCGTGGCGTGATGTCTCCGCGGAGGGTATACCCGTTGCCTATGATCCGACTTTGCAACAGAACGGGGTCAGCGTTAATGTTGGCACACCGATCGGAGTGCCGTACTCTCGATTCAGTGCCCCCCAGGTGGGTGGCTATCCAGTGGCCGGCTCCCAATGGATACCCGGCTATATGATGACCCAGACGATCCCTCAGGTAGATGATCAGGTAAGTGCTGACTAATAGTAGCTCTATTATGGTACTGGATAGGTTTTTGAAGATTATTTATTGATTTTTATTGGAAAAGGTATTTTATTATTAAATGTCAAGGCTCCTAAAAGTTCACATTTTATAGCCCATTAATAATAAAAAAAAGTCATCTTATCAACTTTAAACTTTCGTGTGAAAATAGATTATTGTTTTATTTAATAGCTTTGGCTAATGGGTTTCAGGTGAAAACTTAATTACCGCTTTTATGGACTAGCCATGTTTTTAGAACCAGTGCCATATGGATTATTTTAGCCATGAATGAATTAATTCATATCTTTATCTTTGCTCCACAGTACATGCAGATGGCAGCTGCCCCCCAGTTGGGCGTGACCTCATACAAGCCGGAGGCGGTGAACCAAGTGCAGCCCCGTGGCATTTCGATGATGGTCAGTGGCGACACGGCCGTGCCATATGGAACGATGATGCCCCAGTTGGCCACCCTCCAGATTGGCAACTCTGTAAGCTATTGATCCCATTTTTTTAAGACTTTTTTTTTGCCACTTTGAAGATCTTAGATCCTCATAGTGTTTGCCGTAAACCTATATACTCATTAATAAATATACTCAATTTATACTCTTTCCGTTCTTTTGTGTAAATACAATTATTTGTTTCATCTTTTGATTGATTTTTAACTTTTTGTTTAAAATTATTTCTATATTTTATTTTTTCGTTTTTTCGGTTTTTCCTTTATAGAACTTTTCTCCATCGTTACAGTATATTAGTCCAACTTATCCATATTATGCACCACCACCAACTATTATACCAACAATGCCAATGACAGATTCCGAACAGGCTAGCACAGCTGCATCACCCGACGAGGCATACACACAGTATCCACATCAAGCCGCTCCCAAATAGGTCTTCGCGAGGTGAGTGAAGTCTTCTCTGACGCTGTCTTCTCTTATTCTCCATCATTGTTTCACGGTCTCTCCGATGCCCCATCTCTCCATTCACTAAATTTCATTCCCATTTTCACAACCACTGAGTTGGAACAACTTCATAGTTTGTTTTACAACACTTGATGCGTTTTTTTTTTGCGTTTACCTTCACTGTTTTGCATGAAAGCTCCTTGCGGCTTGGATCTTAGAGTCTTACAAATCCTAAAACCACAAGAAACAAATGATAACGTCACTCGCCTCATTTTATTTGCATTCACCGTCTGCATTCATCCTCCAGTAGGAACCAAGGATCCTACACAACACTTTCCAACACTGCTCACACACAAATCACCGGCTTCATGTGTTTTCTGTGCTCTGCTTGTTGTTGCTTGCCTGTTTGCTTCCGATCTGTTTATTAAATAAATAATTTTCAACATCTGCTTATAATACTAAACAAATGAACTTTATTTATTTTTCATTACCAACTATGTGCTGCTTCTTTTCGAAACAAAAAAAACAACGAAAACTTGGTTCTATTTCTTATATAGTATAGTTACTAAGCAGTCTAATCACTGGTAATCCGTACTAGGTAAATATCATCACGAAATCACTGATCATTAAAATCATTTGCATGAAATGGGGTTTCGAGAAGTCCTTTTAATGAAGACACCAGCTCCGTTTTCTTCTATTCCGAGTGGTTTTAAAATAGAAAGCTTAAATCGGAATATTAGAAGACGGCTATAAGAATAAAATAAACTAATCTTTTTTATTATTTCAGTTATAATATATTAGTACCCCATTTGAGTACGATATAATTTGGACGAGAGTGAGAGCATGCGATAGGACCTAGGATGGAAGAAATCAAGACACGGAACAACAGACCAGCGGATCGGATATAGAAGTCAACAACAGCAACAACAACCTCATGAACAAACAACACCAGAAGAAACAACCAGAAGAAGAGAGCCGCGGCAGAAGAATGGGATACTCAGCATGCAGTTGGCGAAATTAGAATTTTTGGAAATGGTTTAAACTTTAAACCCAGAATGCCGAGGCGAAAAACAAAAAAAAAAAATGTATAATTAAGGAGGTTGGATGTGAGGAACGAAGTTTAGGGGATACATGAGTTAATGTAAGCGATGCGATTAAAAGAAAGCCAGTCTCGAAAGAGGCTCGTGCCGAAGACGCGAGTAAAACGTGAAGAAAAGCAAAGACTAAACTTAAATAATAGAGAATAGTTATACACTAAATAAACAACAACAACAACAAGAACAGCAAAAGCAGCAGGAGAGCAGTAAAATGCTATCCCAGAGAATTGTAAACGAAAAGTTTAAGAAGGCAGTTGAAAATATTTACAAAAAGAAAAACTGCACGCTGCTAAGAATTGAAAGTCAAAGGAAACTCACACGGGGGTCAGATGAAAGAATAGAAAGAACTTGAGGAAATCTGCCTAGAAGAACCATCGCAGATTAGTGTTAAGCTGATATTGTTAAGCGAGACCGTGGCCGAGGGATGTAAAAATACAGAAAGATACTATTTTGCTAATTTTGAGATAGCAAAACATAAGACAGAAACAGAAATTTGTGAAGTGAACGTGAACGATGATGTACCGAAACAGAAAAAAAAAAATATAAAAAATTTGTGTGCAATGTATGTTAAAGAACCGTAAAGGATGAAAACCAGAGAAAATAAACAAAAACGAAACAAAAACCATTTCGATGATGATATAAACAAAGCATAACTTTTAAGTCAAACAGCAGCCGAGCGGCACAGCATCAGCATCGAAGAAAGCCCCCGAAGAAAGCGAATTGTCGCGGAAGAAAGCAAACTTTTTACCTTGCTGGAAGCACTTTCTTTGCTGTTGCTGTAGCCTGCAGAGGCATATGAAGATTTTTAAGCTGTAACTACCTTTGTTTTGTTCTGTTTGTCTAATTTGTAATATTTATTTGTATTTTTTTGTTGAAACGTGTTGAACAGCACAAAGAACGGATGCATGAAGATCGTAGATAGCCACAAAAGTGAAGAATGAAAGAAAGATCTTTGGTTTGAATTCTCCTTATGATTTTATTTTTTTTTTGTAATTGTACCAAAAATGCAAATTGTATAAAGCAAAGATCCGACAAGAAGAAAAAAAAAGAAAACGAAATGTCTATTTCCCCCTTTTTGACATTCATTTTGTGCTATCCAAGAAAATTAAATTAAAACAAAAGAAATGAAATGAAGAAAGTCCTCGAATGGGGCAAGACCTAGGTTAAGTCTTAGCAAAACAAAACAAAAATAAAAAAAAACATAAGAAAATTGCAGTAAGCCAACAGATTTAGTAGTTCTAGAAATCTAAAGCAAAGCAGACGAAGAGCAAGCCGAAGCTTGCGAAGATCGACGAAGAAACACAGAGAAGAATCGATGAATAGGTGGAGAAATCTTATACTAGTTTTTAGCATATTTTTTGTGCTCATCAGTCGATTTAATGAATGAATTTTTTGTAGCTGTCTACAGTTTTTTACGTTAACTGTTTTTTAGACATATTAATGAGGAAAGTAAAACCACAACAAAACTTAGGTATATAGTCTATTTTTTCTGCATAGGAACAGAGTTGTTGAAGGAGCTAGCAGAAGGAAAGGATAGAGTTGATTAGCAGCAAGGAAGGAATCCAAGAGGCAAACACTTTTTAAAAGGGAATAGCTAAAAAAAGAAAATAAAAGAAAACCGACAACAACACACAAAAGTAGCAAAACACAGATGAAATGAAAATAAAATTTTGAAACTGTAGAATTGTAGTTTAGCTTTGTGAATTGGAGGAAGGACAACCATTTTGAAGGATTAGAAAGGATCAACAGCAACAGCAGCAACAACAACTGGCACATGCCGTAGCAGAAATGTAAAACAAAGCAAAACAAAAAAAAAACAAGAAAATTAATGTTAAATTTAAAAAAAAACACGATGAAGAGTAAAGAAAGCAGAGAACTACGTTTAGTAAACTTAGTTAATAAGCAAAGATTTCTTTAGTCCTATAAGCTTCTCTTAAGTAGAGTTCGAGAATGGAGAACGGAGTTTAGAATTGAAATTGAACCCTTTTTAAAAAAAAGCCTAGCATATTTATTTTCCTGAGACACTTAAAAACACACTGAGACACTGAGAAACCAACACGGACACACCTATCAAGCCTAAGCATTGTATTTGTGATTCTTTCGAATGTTAATTGATTAACAAAACTATTAAGCAAATGAGAATAGTGGCTTGAAGTGGGTTACATGAGAAGAAGACAAGTTTTTGAGAATCTCGATCTTGAGAAAGGACATTCACTCACAAGAACACAGAAGAACGAACGAACAGCAACCACACGGCAAACAACATTCCTGAGCAAAGTCTTTGATTTGATTTTAGATATGTATATGTATGTGTTGAAAAATTTCATTTTCGAGTTTAAACTTTAAAGTTGTCGAGTTGCCTAACTGAACTATCTACATATATACATTATATATATATACATACATACATAAAAACGTAAGAAACACAACGCCAAAAGTCTTCCTAAGCCTAAAACCAAAATAACAAAATGCAAATATACATTTTTTTTTTCATCTAATTACGATTATTTGCTTTAGACTGACTACGAACTGGAACTGAAACAATAACAACAAATGCAGGATATTTTAGCAAAAAAAAAAATACACAAACATGTAGTTAAATGCAGGCATCTGGAAATATTTTGCCAAAACATTCCAAACGAAGAACTAAATATTAAAGTGAAGCAAAATTATCTGAAAGCTAAATGCAATGAGAAGATGACTGCATTTGTTGTCTTTGCATGTAAAAGAAAAATCACAAATACAAGACCAACACAGTGGAAGGTCCTTTCGATCCTTTTTTCCACACTCACACACAAACACTCACACACACACACGCTCACACCCTCAAACTCACACAAAGTGCAATTTTCTTTTTGTAGTTTTCATTAATTTTACTTTTTTAGCAGCAACAACTTAAGCAAATTGAGAAAGCATTAAACTCTAAGTTATTTATAAAAAAATAAAGAAAATCGCGAAGAATATGGGGCGAGAGAAGATTAGGCCTCCCTAGGAAAGTGAAAATTAAATTTATGTTTTTAGAAAAGAAAAAGAAAAGCGAGTCGATGGAGGAGAAATGAACCTAGTTTATAAGATCAAAGCCTAGTGTGTAAGTTTAGAGAACCTAAGTACAGTGTTGAGAAGCAAAGAAGAACGCAAATGAGGAAAACCAGGAGAAAGCAGAAAAGTAGAGAAGTAGAGCGAAGAAGAAGGATATGTAGGAACAGACGAGTAGGACATATGATTTCTAGTTGGTAGCAAACAGAGAATGAATAGTTGGTTAGTTCGAGTGCAACACACTTAGCAAGTTGTAGTTTTTGTGTAGTTAGAGTGACGAGCGACAAGTGCTGGAAAACGCCGTGTCGCCCAGTTTGAGGTTAGGTTTAATTTTTGATGCAAAAAATAAAATGCAAGTAAAGCAAGAAAGAAGTAATGAAATGAATGATCGAAAGCAAGGACGATGAAGAGGTAAACAATAAAATCAATCGACGAGGAGTGTTCTAATCTAAACCTATTCTCATACTGACTTTTTTGTGTGTATTTAAATCTACTTTGACAAGAAACCAAACACTTGGAACTCGTTTGTTTTGCGTCTGTATTTTGTTTTAATTTAATGCGTTTTACTTTAGTTTTTTAACTAATTTTAAGTAGTTAATTTATTATTTGTCTTAAAATCGCAGAGACCCCATTCAAGATTCAAGATTGCTTGGGTTTCTCGCTCCTGATTGAAGAACTCTCGCCAGAAGAGCGAATCGATTAAAATCGATGCAAGTGTTGAAGTAATTTTTAAAAATGCAAACAAAAAAATGTCTAGTGCGTAAAATTCAAAACTAAAAACAAGAAAATTTTTCAATAAAAATGAACAAAAAAACAAAAATAAATAAAAATCTTTTGTTTATGTGCGTTTCTCTTCGTTTTGTTTAATGTTTTACGTTTTTCTTCGATGTGATTTCTTAGTAGTTAAATGTTTACTATATGAATTACCAGTAAGCTTATTCAAAACCCCTACACCAAATAGTTTCCAATAACAAATTTCTTAAATTAATTAAATCGTGTTGAATTAACTTGCGTTTTAAACAGGAGGCAAAACTTAGTCGTCTTAGTCGTTGTTTAGGGGCGGGCAGAGCAGAGCGTGGAAGCGAGATGCGAGCGCGAGTGGAATAAATAAACATTTTTTAATTAAGCCAATTTAAGGAAATGATGAATATATATTTTTTTGAAACTTTTTTGACGAAACCAAGAATATAAACAAAAGAAACAAAAAACGAAAAAACAAGAAAATGAAGACGCATAAAAGTGAAAGCGCGAAGCCAGAAGAAAGAGGAACGCTAGGCAAATCGATGGAACAGAGACAGGAAGGATGAAACCAAGCTCATTAAATTTAAAAAATAACAAAAAATTAAATAAGAAAATCAGTTTCGGATCGAAAAGGGGGGTGGTAATGGAGTAGAAATGGTAATGGAACAAAACACGACGACAAAGGCGTACACTAACTTTAAGTAAGCGTAAAATGCAAGCAGCTAATTAAACTTAGAAACAGAAATACTTAAATGAGAGTAATGTACATTTCGCTTGTTGCTATTTTTAAGTTTTAAATCAAAGTCTTTTAAAGAACTTTATTCATTTTCTTATTAACAATGATAAAAACCAAAAAACCCACAAAAAAAAAAAATGAAGCAAAGCAAATGCGCAAACTGGAAAAAAAAGAAAGTTTAAAAAGAAAAATCTCTATATTGTAATTCTTCAGGAAGTATCTGAGGGACGATGGAAAAACGAAAGCATGAGGAATGCCCTTCAACTCTTTGTGTATTTTTTAACGTATTATTTTTTGCATCAATGTGACGCTTTTAAGCATTTTTATAAGGCAAATGAATTGTATTTAAAACTCTAGTAAAAGCTAAAAAGAACCCGAAGAACCTAAACTCTTGAAAAAAAAAACAAAGAAAAATGCGAAAAGCGAAATCTTTTCTACAACTTTCAAATTTATACACGTACTTTTTGTGCCCTCAACTTTAATGCAAAAAATCATACATTAAAAACCGAATTGGAGATCAAGAGATAAAGTTAAAAACCCAAAATAAAAAAAAGGAAAGGGAGAAGATTTCAAAAGAAAAATTAGTTTAAGCAAAACATTTTGCAGCTTTTGTGCTTATTTCGCTTAAGACTAGTTGAACAAGAAAAAAAAGTAAATGATGAAAAAAAAATTAAATGTAATTGTAAGTAAAAAAAAAGAAAAGAGAATAGATCAGTATAGAACAGAAAAGATGGCGGGAGAATCAAGCCGGAAGCTAAGCTAGGACAGGACGAAATGTCGTCCTTGTCGCAAATGAAAGCATTAATGCGAAAATAGCAAAAGATTTAAATGTGGAAAATGAAGAACACACAAAAGTAAAAAATGAAGAAAACACGTCTCTTTGGTAGGAAAAAGAAAAACCTAAAGAGAAAATGCTGTCATCCAAAACCCCAAAAAAAAATGAAACTGAACTTTTTCTGAATCAATAAAAGACAAATTGATTTTCTGTAAGAAAACAAAAATCACATGCATTTTTTATTCCTGTGGGGATGGGGGGTTGCTGGCGGAGATTTAATTTGATGAAATCTCCTCTTCCTCTCGGCCAAAATGTCACACTGGGGATGTGTGTGTGTGTGGGCCACCCTCTTTTGTGAAAGGGGTTTCCTACGAACGATGACATCCTGTCACCCTCACTTCAGTCGTAAAGTGCTTAGGGCTATGGGCCGTGTAATGAGCTCTTCCCTTGGGCTATCATCCAGCCATCCACCCACCTCATAAATAAAGTCCTTTTTCCGGAAGGAGGAAATATGAAAGGCCTACGAACGAGTCTCCTAGCGAGTCTACCTATATGTGTGTGTGGCTGTGTGTGTGTGTGGGTGTTTTGGAGCAAGGATGAGCCCAAAAATGTTGACAGCAGTTCGTCCTGCAGATTTTGCTGGGTTCCTGTTCGTTTGACTTGTTTGATGGTTTTATGAGTGTCAAAACTTGACAGCTTAATAGACGTTTTTATGGCAGGCAATCGCCATTTCATTGTTATTGCAAATTGTATCGAGTTGGAGGAAAATGGAGTTTCGGAAAATGGGTAGCACAAGAGAAAGAGAGAGAGCGAGTGAGTGAGTTCCACCCTCACAGAGACAAATACCCATTTCCGGGACTCCATCAGATACGAAAGCAGGGGATGCTGGGAGCAGGGGATACTACGTCAGAGACGAAAAAGTGGTGCCATCTATACCCAGCTCCCCCAACACCCAGCCTCATTTTTTGAGTGTGTGTTTGTGGATACACAGAAATAAATCACAATATATTACACAAATAATAATATAAAATAATACACAATGTAAATATTCCTTTAAATATATTTCACATTACATGGGTAAAAATAATCACATTACATGTGCTTGTTAAAAATATTATACATGTTTTTATGTTTAATTTTTCTATGTGTACCCATGAGCGTACACCCTCCCCAACATAACAACAAAAGCAACATCAACGGTGGGGCACGTTTGTTTGTCTGCCTACTTGTTTGTTTACTTGCTTACCGTTATTTCGCTACACAATTTCACTCTCCCGCAACGCGATATCTTGTTATATTTTCTGTGCACCTGTTCGCGTGTAGCTTTTTGTTGTAGTTGTATGTGTCACTACATTGGAAAAAAGGGGGGAATATGTGTTGCAGCGACATACATACGATGGAGTCGCTAAAAATTAGAAAGTTTTGAATATATGCGAAGAGTTTGCGAAGAGCAGTTTGTATAACCTTGCATGGGGTATAAGGGGAAGTAAGGGAGACACAAAATATATAAAAAGATATTTTGTCTCAGGATTTTGATGCAGAATGGTGGCGAATTGATTCACAAATCGTTTAAGGTACTCCCCTTGAGAATCGGACGTGAAATGGGGAAGATATAGCCATCACTGTGGGCCCTATATGGAAAAACCCCATTTTGAAGGGGTCCCATCACGAAAAATGGACAAAAAATCAAAAAAATATTTTGTCTCAGGATTTTAATGCATAATGATGGAGAATCGATCTAGAAATCATTCAAGGTACTCCGCTTGACAATTGGATGAAAATTGAGGAAGATAGAGCCAGCACTGTGGGCCCTATAGAGGAAAACCCCATTTTCAAGGGGTCAAGGGGTCCATCATGAAAAATGGACAAAAAATCGGAAAAATATTTTGTCTCAGGATTTTGATGCAGAATGATGGAGAATCGATCTAGAAATCATTTAAGGTACTCCGCTTGAGAATCGGATGAGAATTGAGGAAGATATGGGCATCGCTGTATACCCTATAGAGGAAAACCCCATTTTCAAGGGGTCAAGGGGTCCATCATGAAAAATGGACAAAAAATCGGAAAAATGTATTGTCTCAGGATTTCGATGCAGAATGATGGAGAATCGATCTAGAAATCATTTAAGATACTCAGCTTGATAATCGGAAAAGAATTGGGGAAGATATAGCCATCGCTGTGGGCCCTATATGGGAAAACCCCATTTTCAAGGGGTCCCATCACGAAAAATGAACAAAAAATCTAAAAAATATTTTGTCTGAGGATTTTGATGCAGAATGGTGGCGAATCGATCTAGAAATCGTTTAAGGTACTCCGCCTTAGAATCGGATGAGAATTGAGGAAGATATAGCCATCGCTGTGGGCCCTATGGGGGAAAAGCCCATTTTCAAGGTATCCCATCACGAAAAATGGGAAAAAAATCTGAAAAATATTTTGTCTCAGGATTTTGATGCAGAATGGTGGCGAATCGATCTAGAAATCGTTTAATGTACTCCGCTTGAGAATTGGATGGAAATTGGGGAAGATATAGCCATCCCACTGGACCCTATAGTGTAAAATCCCATTTTCAAGGGGACCCATCACGAAAAAGTGAACAAAAATCTGAAAAATATTTTGTCTCAGGATTTTGATGCAGAATGGTGGCGAATCGATCCAGAAATCGTTTAAGGTACTCCGCTTGAGAATCGGATGAGAATTGGGGAAGATATAGCCATCGTTGGGGACCCTATAGGGGAAAACCCCATTTTCAAAGGGTCCCATCACGAAAAATGGACAAAAAATCTAAAAAATATTTTGTCTCAGGATTTTGGTGCAGAATTGTGGCAAATCGATCCAGAAATCGTTTAAGGTACTCCGCTTGAGAATCGGATGAGAATTGGTGAAGATATAGCCATCACTGTGGGCCCTATATGAAAAAACCCCATTTTCAAGGGGTCAAAAAAAAAAAATGGACAAAAAATATAAAAAATATTTTGTCTCAGGATTTTGATGCAGAATTGTGGCAAATCGATTCAGAAATCGTTTAAGGTACTCCGCTTGAGAATCGGACGAGAATTAGGAAAGATATAGCCATCGCTGTGGATGCTATACGGGAAAACCCCATAATAAAATTCGAATTCTAATTCTAACCCTTTTACCGCAAGGGTATATCAACTTCGGATCATCAACATCAATATCAACCGCCCGAAGTTAGCTTTTCTTTCTTGTTACATTGTATGTTTGTGATTAGACAGCTGGAGTTTATGAATACTTATAATATTAAAGATATAATATTTTAACTTCTATAAGTTCCACTTGTTCCGCTAAAAAGAAAACAAAATTCGTATGCCATTTCATTTGTTTTTTTTATTTATCATTTATATCTATTCCAAATGCTCCATGGGTATTCTGATGAGCATGTGACTTCCATTTATTCGTAGTACAGAAAACTGTTCAAACTATAAAAACTGACACTGTGGCTGCCAAGCCGTACAAAAACCAAATTGTTAACTGTTTGCACGTATATATATGTATAGGCTTGTAACCTCTATATTCGCTTCCATGCCATTTATCAATTTTTGTGGTCTGGGATAAATGGAAACAATGGCTAACAAATTACCAACTATGCGAAAACAAAATCATACAAAAATCATTAAATTTACACGCCTCGTTCACTTGCCACCGAAGCCGCCCATCAGGTTCCCCAGTCCACCCAAGCCGCCCGCCGCTCCTTGCTGCAGCTGTCGCATCATGTTTTGCAGTCCACCTACGCCGCCCATCTGCTGCAGCATCCGTGGGTCAATCATCTTTGCCATCTGCTGGTTGAGCTTGGCCATTTGTGTGGGGTTTACGTTCTTGGTCATGTCGCCTTGCTTGAACAGGCCCTTCACGCCACCCATCTTCTTCACCACCGCCGCGAATTTCGTGTAGTGAGCAATCAGCTCTTTCACTTCCCTTTCCAGGACGCCGGCACCCTGGGCCACGCGCACACAGCGTGTTGGCTGTTTACTGAAGAGCTTTGCTCCGTCTCGGTTGTCCAGCTCATTGTCCGACATACTGTCCATCATGGTCATCATTCGCTTGATACGCGCCATTGATTCCTGTTCTCCCCCCTTGGTCATAAAGTCCTGCGAGAAGCCGGGAATCATGTTCATGATTTGCGAAAAGGGGCCCATTTTCATGATGTTCTGGAACTGTTCGTACATGTCGCGGATTGTGAAGTGGCCGTGCTTGATCTTTTCCAACAGCTCCTCGTTTCCATCCAGCTTCAGTTCATTCACCTGAAAAGGGGTTTTACATTAGTATGATTATAAATAAAATAAAGTGGTGCCATCACTACTATTTTCATATCTTAATCCTCTGGTCTTGCTTACCTTATCTATCAGCCCCTCGATGTCGCCCATACCAAGCAGCTTGCTCACAAAAGGTTTCGTTTTAAAAGGTTCCAGATCGTCGATGTGCTCTCCTGTGCCGATGAAGATAATGGGCGACTGTGTGGCCGCAACGGCAGACAAAGCACCACCTCCCTTGGCATGGCCATCCAACTTTGTGATAATCACCGAACCGATGTCTACTTTGTCCTTAAAAGCCTTGGCCTGAGCCTCGCAAGCTTGTCCGATGGTGGCGTCCATCACGAAGATAATATTGTCAGGATTGACGGCGTTTGCAACCGCCAACATCTCCTCGAAGAGTGACTCCTCCTGCTTGTGCCTTCCGGAAGTATCAACGATGATCATTTCAAAGCCCTCGCGCTTAAACATGTCCACACCCTCCTGGGCAATAACCACGGGATCGATTTCCGTGTAGCTTCCATAGAAGGGAATGCGCGCCTTGGTGGCGTTTTGTTTAATTTGATCGTAGGCGCCGGCACGGAAGGTATCGGCACACACAAGGCACGATTTCCAGTTGCGCTTTTGGTAGTGATAGGCCAGCTTGGTGCACGTGGTTGTCTTTCCAGAGCCCTGGAGACCCACAAACATGATAACGTTGGCTTTGCCCTTGATGGGCTGGTAGGGTTTCACGCCAGGATCGACAAGCTTGATGAGCTCCTTGAAAACAGCGGACTGGATCATGCGGCGCTTGTTCAGACCGCCGGCCATCTCGTCGAAATCGATGACGGCGCGCACATTTTCGCGCAGCTGCTTCACCAGCCGGATATTGACGTCCGCCTCCAGGAGAGCCGCGCAGATCTCCTTAAGCATGGCATTAAGAGCCTCCTCATTGATTACGGTCGCCTTGCTCAGCGAGTGCAGCGCCGTGGTTATTTTGCGTCCCAAATCCGCGAGAACCATCTTGCTGGTGGGTTTGGTGGTGCTGGGTCCTGTGTTGGTGGCGTACGGGCTTCTGGCAGCTTATTAATTTTGTGTGGCTATGTGCGGGGCAAAAACATATGCGAAATGGCAGGAAACTTTTACTTTTTGTATTTTTGTGGTCTTTGCCTTCTGACACGTCGATGTGGAAGAGGAAGACCGATGACCACTGGATATTCGCAGTGGTGGGCAGGTGAATCTGTCAAAACAAAAGAGTTATCGGTTATCGGCCGCCCGGTTCGTTGTGGCTGGTTATTTGGGAAGAAGAAGAATTGGTTTAAAATATTTGCGACTTTTCGCGGTTTTTGATTATTTTAATATTTTGGATGGGTGTCAAGGAGCTATGGACTGTTTTAACTCCTCACTGCGAGCGGAAGCCTATAAATGAGCTGCGAGGCAAAAAGGTGGCTATCGATCTGGCCGGATGGGTGTGCGAATCGCTTAATGTGGTTGATTATTTTGTCCATCCAAGGCATCACCTAAAGTGGGTTAGATTGTATTTTTCTTTTAAATATTTTATTAATTTTATTTTTATTTTAAACCCGACAGGAATCTCTTCTTTCGAACATGCTACTTAATTTGGGAACAGGTTACTCCTGTCTTTGTCTTGGAAGGAGTTGCTCCAAAACTAAAAAGTCAGGTGATAGCCAAAAGAAATGAATTGCAATTTCGGGGCGTAAAACCCAAGGATGCGGCTACAGGCTCTCAAACCCAAGGCCAAGCTCCCAAGGCAGACAAAGGACGCACCCGTTTCAACCACGTTCTTAAGCAATGCGAGAATCTCTTACTTTCTATGGGCATCCAGTGCGTCCAAGGTCCAGGAGAGGCAGAGGCGTACTGTGCCTTTCTAAACAAGCATGGGGTAAGTAGGAAACTTTTAGAGAATTCGTATAAAATTATCAAGCACCCTTCCCAGTTAGTAGATGGCGTCATCAGTCAGGACTCCGATTGCTTTGCCTACGGAGCTGTGCGTGTCTATCGCAACTTCTCGGTGTCTACCCAGGGAGCTCAGGCGGCCGCTGGTGGAGCTGTGGACATCTATGACATGCGGGAGATCACCACTCGCATGGACTTTGGCCAGCACAAGATTATTGTAATGGCTTTGCTCTGTGGTTGCGATTACTGTCCTGATGGAATCGGAGGCATTGGTAGGGATGGAGTCCTAAAACTGTTCAACAAGTACAAGGAGACAGAGATTCTGGACAAGTATTTATACCTTACTTGAGACCTTTTTACCTTATTTATAATCTTTGAATGTTTTTAGAATGCGAAACTGGCGCCAAGAGACAAATAAATACAATGCCCTGGAGATTCGAGTAGACGACAAGTCTATATGCAGCAATTGTGGACATATTGGCAAGACCCAGAGCCATACCAAGAGCGGATGCAGTGTCTGTCGCACCCATCGAGGCTGTGACGAAAGCCTTTGGAAGTAAGTCAACGATTTTAATTAAAAAATAAATAATTGATTGATATTTTTTAAAGGGAGCAGCGGCTATCTATTAAAGCAGAGTTATCTCTCAGAAGAAAGGCCCTGGTAGATTCCAGTTTTCCCAACGAGGAGATCATAGCTGAATTTCTAAGCGAGCCTTCCACTATTCCAAATCTGAATCTGAATTGGCGGCAACCGAATCTTGTCAAGTTCATTAAGCAAATAGGCCACCTTCTGCAGTGGCCCGAAATATATTGCTTCCAGAAGTTCTTCCCCATACTAACACGGTGGCAAGTGCAGCAATCTAAACAAGAAAAGATCCTTATCCAGCCTTTGGAGATCATAAAGAAGCGAACGGTCAAAGGAGTGCCCAGCTTAGAGTTGAAATGGCACGATCCAAGCGGTAGCTTCAAAGGTCTCATTCCCGACGACCAAATATCTGAGTTTGAACTCGAGCATCCCAAAGGTATTGAAGAACTTTACTATACCATAGAGCCATTGGAAATGTTGGAGCAAGCCTATCCAGACTTGGTAGCCGCATTCATAAAGTCTAAAGAGAAACCTCCCAAGAAGGCATCCAGGAAGAAGGCAACTGCCCAAAATGAAGAGGAAAAAGAGAACGAAGCAAAGACAAAACCCAAGAGAGTGCCCAAAAAGAAAAAGACTCCAGCGGAACAGAATCAACCTCTGTTACAGCAGTTCCTAAGACGAGAGAAAATTGATACTCCCGTCAAGAGTTCTCCACCGCAACGCCAGCAATGTTCGACTCCCATAACCAAGTTCCTGCCCTCCGACCTCGAAAGCGACTGCGATGCAGACGAGTTCGACATGTCTGATATAGTGAATGGTATCATTTCGAACCCCAATGCAAAGCCTGCGCTCACACAGCACGAAGGACATCAGTTGCACTACGAACCCATGGCCGAGGACTTGAGCTTGCGGCTGGCGCAGATGAGTTTGCAGGCGGAGGAAGAGCTTCCAAACACCGACAATAAAAGGGATTTATCGCAACTGGAAGAACTTCCGAAAAGCAAGCGTTTTTCGATGGAAGATAGCTTCGACCTCCTGGTTAAAGGAGGCTTTCAAAAGATTTCAAATCCACCGCAAGCTGTGCGGACACCAGTGGACCGTTTCAAGCAGCAGCACCGCCTCAGTGGAATTCCCTCGCCAGCTAAGCCTTTACCTAGAATGAGTTTCTTTTTTAATCAAAGCACTGAAAATGCGGATGCATTCGAGCAGTTGATGAACGACAGTTTGGTGCCAAAAGATCCAGAAGAAGAAGAAGAGGATGATAATAAAGGTGAAGATGACGTGGTGGTCATCAGTGATTGAACTTAAAATTAATAATTTTGCGATTTATTCGCTCTTCACAATAGAAAACATTTGTATGGCAAGCTCTCAGCCTAACCATTTTGGAGGGTGATCACAACTATTTTAACCTAAAGATTCAGCTTGGCGTAGGCGTGCGCCTTGGCCATTGCTTGCTCCAACTGCTCTTCGAACTGGTTGTTGACCCGGCGCCCCTTCATGTTGCACACGACCTGAGGATCCTGGCCCTTGGGAGCCGCAACCTGTCCTCCGAAAGTGTCGGCGAAGGATTGCAGCCAGGCGGAAGCATTGAACTTATCTGTGGCGCAGCTGGGTGGGACGCAACATCGCGCCTTGACCACGCTGTCGCACATGCTAACCACCAGGATGGGTCGATCCTGGCAGAGTTTGGTGGCCCGTTGCAAAGGAATCTCCTCTACGAGAGCCGAGCTGGTGATGTAGTGCAGAATGAATGGATGTGTTTCTTGTGGCTTCTCTTGCAGCAGATTTCGCATTTCCACTTCAACAAATTCTCTGAAAGATCGGGGGGTTAGAATGGATAACCACGAGAACATTTAATACCCACTTTAAGGTTGTGCGTGACGATTCCTTAATCCTCTTCAGCATCTCTGTGATGCGTTCCAGAGTGTCCATTTTGAAGGCATATGGCAGCTTGATATCTGTGTGCAGCATGTTGTGGCGAATGGTTTGCAGCTCCGCCTCCGTGGCATTCGTCAGTTTGTCCGTCTGGAACTGCTTTTCAAGGAGATCCACACGATGGCGTAGCAGGGCAGCCGTTTTCAGGACCTACATTTTGGAATGGTTACCAGTATACTTTAGGTAATAGTTTGAAGTCATTCACTTACGTTCTCCGCCGCCTGGCCAGCCACTGCGGTGAAGGAGAAACGCGCTCGGTTCGTCTGCTTGAGGTTCACGATGCAGAAGCATGAAAGCTCACTGGTATTGGTGGCATGGGTGCCACAGCACAGCTCTTTGGAGTTCAGATGCAGTTCGGGAGATTGCACATGAACCAGACGCAGTCCCTGCTCCGGATATACCTCTCCAGGCACCATTGTTATGTCGTTCTGTTGCAGCACTTCAGCAGCACAGAGTAGTTCAACATCAACAGGAGTAGCCGAACAGATGATGCGACTGGGGGATATTCAAAAATGAATTGCATTGTTAACAGAAGCTAGGTAAAGCCAACTTACTTAATCAAATCTTCAATGAGCTGCACATCGCTTTTCGTGATGCGTTTTCCCAGTAATCCCACCTCCAGCTTACACTGATCGCTGGTCACGGAACTTGACACCTGGTAGGTGACCTTGTTGAACAGCGTACGGATGGCAGCATTCAGAAGGTGGGTGGCTACAAATATACTATATTTAATTATTATCATAACAAGTCGTTGTGTAAACCAACCTGTGTGATGGCACGTATTGAGTTGCCTTTGCGCGGAATCCACCACCAATTCCACATCGTCTCCAATGGCCAACTCGAAGGCATCTACGGGGCTGGACAACCGGCACACATGCACAACACAATCGTTAAGATGTTTCACGCTGATCACATCCAGAAGATGCGGCTGATCTGGCTGGTGGGTATTTTTGACTAGGATCTTTCCGCTGTCCGATTGCTGGCCTCCAGATTCGTAATAAAAGTTGCTTGCGGCGGTGACAAGGGAGATGGTATCGGTCGTGGGATCCTGTAGGCGGCTTCCCTGGGTCCGTGACACTTCTGCGTCGTTAAGCAGCAGCCCCACCACACGGCTCTTGAGTTCAGGAATTGTGTACGAGCCGGTCTCCTTGTCGAAGGAGTACGAATACTTGTGACTGTTGTCGGTGGCTGGCAGGCGCTTTGTCATCTTCGCCTGTGCCTCTGCAATGCGCTGTTCGCCAACTAGATCACAGAGGGATGCTCCTTCTTCTCTTTGAATGCTTTTCGCTTTAATCTTGGCTAGCGACACCTCTGCCCTGTACCGCTCCAAATCACAGTTCATGTTCTCCAGCTCCGCCAGCTTCAGGAAGCTCTCTTCTGTCAGGCCGTAAGTATCAGTCAGCTTGTACAGAAAGTCCCCTGGTATGGTGTTGTTGGGGAACTTGGATCGCTGCACCTGGAACTCCCGGTAGGCGGGAACAAAACCAGGACACTCCATCAAATCAATATCATCCAAATTTGGGAATTCTGTAAGCACCTCAGCGAAGGCTTTGGAAGAGCTTTCTCGCAGATTTTTGTACACCTCCTGCTCATGACGAATGAGATCTATAACAGCTTGTTGCTTTGCAGACATCTCGGGGTAAGCTTCTCCTAGGGTTTCCACAACAATGGGAATAAGTTGGGATAACAAGTTCTCCTTGGCAAAAACATGTTCTGAGATGTTTAGAGCCTTTCGAAGGACGCGACGAAGTTTCTGACTAAAATTTTAAAAGATTAATAGGTTTGGAAATCAACATCATTTAGGTGGACACCTACTTCTGATCTGGAAGCATGCCATCGGCCAAGCACGCAGTTACCATACGCGCATGATCAGCCAGTATTCTATAGTTGGTGTCCAACAGGGCTTCATTTCCATTATCCGGAAAGCTGCCGCCGTAAACTGGAGCTTTAGCCACCTGCTGAATCCCATCGAAGATCGGGGTAAACAGATCCGTATCGTAGTTTGAGGTTTTGTTCTGCAACACAGCTGTTAGGCGCTCGAAACCCATTCCAGTGTCCACATGATGGGCACGCAATTGGGAAATGCTACCATCAGCGTGGCTAAATAAAGATCTTATATTATTTTAATGATTTAACTAAGTAGATTCCTATTCCCACCGATTATATTGTATGAAAACGAGATTCCACAACTCTGTAAGATCTGAACGACCTGCATTGACCAACTTGGCGCGCTGCACCACGCTTCCAAGGTCAGGACGATGATCTATATGTATTTCTGTGCAAGGACCACAGGGTCCGGTGGCACCCATTTCCCAGAAATTATCCTTGCAGCCGAAGGGGAGTATCCGAGAAGCAGGAAAGCTATAAACAAGATTTATATAACATTGGTAACGCCCTGGGCTTATGTAATAAAACGTACCCAAGACTCCTCCAGATCTCGAAGCACTCTAAATCGGCGGGAATGCCAAGTACCTTGTCGCCTGCAAAGTAGGTAACATAGAGTCGTCCCGGATCGATGTTATACGGGCCACGGAGCAGTTCCAAAGCCATGGCGCAGGCTTCCCGCTAGACAAAGAAATAACTAATATAATGTCATACACAGTTGAGTGTTGCTACTGCCAACCTTGAAGTAATCTCCAAACGACCAGTTGCCCAGCATCTCGAAGAAGGTGTGATGGTATCCATCTGAACCAACCACGGAAAGATCGTTGTGTTTTCCGCCGACGCGAACGCATTTCTGAGAGTTGACTACTCGTTTGTGAGGTGCTGCCGCGGTGCCGAGGAAGACCGACTTAAACTGCAATCGAAATAATTCAATAAACAAGATGACAAAGCCCCAATCTAGTTAGATAGCCCACCTGATTCATGCCCGCGTTGACGAAAGCCACCGTGGGATCACAAAAAGGAACCACGGGGCTGGAGCGAACGAATTTATGGCCATGACTGACGGTGAAGTGGTCCAGGAACGTCTTCCGGATCTCGCGCGCGGTTAGTACGCGCTGCAGTTGCTTGGCCGAGTTGTACATGCCGCCGCCAAGTAATTAATCCCCCGATCCAAAGCCGACCGGCAATTAGAACGCTCGAGATAAATCTGTGCGAGAACAGCTGATATGAGGCATTCACCGTGCGATTTCCAATTGGAATGTGCCATTCACCTGGCAGCGCGTTCACATCGTGCAGCTGTTCTATTTTTTACAGGCGCAACACGTAAATTCTGGTCAAAATAAAAAGAGCTGAAGAACGGATAAAAACAAAGGAAGACAAAGGAATAGGATCACCAATAATCACCCCTCAGGGTTTGGCCCACATTTCCGGACAGTTGCATCTTCGGTATGGCATGGTTGATGTACATTGAACTTTGACACGTAAAACATCTTCCGCTTTCACTTTCGGCCCATAGCATAACCAAAAACGGCCAAAACAACGCACTTGACGTTGATCCTCCTCGGCCAGCTCTAAATTTTCCATGGCCACGAAACGTCGACCTTTACGTCCCAATCTGGGAGGCAGTAACAGCTCGGGACCCAGTTCGGGCTCAAACATGAACTTCAGACCTGGAGGACCTGACATCACCAGGGCGGAGGCTCGGGGAACGAGACCTACGGCGGCCCCCACTAGCATCCGGGAGATCCTAGTCATGGGCGTGATACATCTGTGCAAGAAAACCATATTCTTCAATACAGACCTGAAAGTGGCCCTTTATCTGGGCAGTCTGTTTGTGATCTCCGTCATTGGGGACTTTGTCCCCTTTCCGAAGACCTACTTTGCCAGATCGGACAACCTTTTCAATATGTATTTTGTTAAGGTCGGCTGGGGTTGGACCCTGCTCTTTGCCGTGCCGTTCCTGGTGCTTTCCGCCTACACGATTACATGCGGTGACCACAAGAAAATGCTGAGGCATCACTTCCCGCGTATCGTGATTGCTACCTTCTTCTGGTTCTTCTGGACAAAGCTCTTCAATGTTGTGGAAACATCATATGGACGCTGTACTGTAAAAGGTGAGACAACGACCTATTTAAAAAAAAAGGTTCTATAAAAAAGTTATCTCTTTTAGGCTTCCAAAGCAAGTCCAGTTGTTTAAAAGCGGGTCATCTATGGCACGGATTCGACATATCCGGGCATGCTTTTATATTGATCCACTCAAGCTTGGTGCTCATCGAGGAGGCGCGCCCCATCATCCGCTGGGAAACGATCAAGGAACACATCCGTAATGAAGTGCACAACCGCAGCTCCGCCGAGGTCTCAGGATCCAATCCCTTGAGAGGCCTAAACGAGGAGCAAATGAGGAGCCTGCAGTTCTTGTACAAGCGTCTAACGCCCATCATCCGCACCCTGTTCATCGGCATGGCGGCGCTTCAGTTGCTTTGGGACATCATGCTGGTCGGCACAATGCTGTATTACCACCGCATGATCGAGAAGGTGATCAGCGGCATCATTGCGATCCTTACCTGGTACTTTACCTATCGTTTCTGGTACCCCACGTCGGGCTTGTTGCCAGAGGCTCCTGGAAGCGGAAGTTTTAGCTATCAGCGGGAGCCGCCCAGCTTTCCGTTCAAGCGACCCTCGCATTTATCGACTGGAACGGCTGCCAGTGGAGGAGCTAGCACGTCTCGGGCCAACCTTAATGGCAAGGCGGCCACGGCGGGAGTACCTAGAGATCAACAGATTCCTACCTTTATGGGAATGCCTCTGTTCACAAACGCAAAGGCTGCCAGTGCTGCCGCCACTGCGTTGCAATCGGAGCAACAGAAAAGAGATCGTGACCAGCAGCCACAGCAGCTGGACAGTTGATCCTTCTGAGAGGCAGGAGATCGAATGACAAAAAGCATAGCAGGAATTGACAATTAGGTGACGGATTGGAATGGAATTTATACCAAATTTTTGTATATTCAGCGACGATGTAACGATGAAACGATAATGATATTCTAAGCAGCTCGAGGCTGGCACTGGTTCGCGTCCTGCTCCTTACGCTCCTTTTCTTTTTTACCATCCTTTCACCCCAGCATCCCAGCATCCTTCATCAGCAGCGCGTAGCTTTAAGCGTTCTTATGTTCGTGTGTTTATATGTGCCCAACTTTAATAGTAAAAGGATTTGTTAACAAAAAAAGCTGCCTCATCCTCCGCTACTTGTGCGCGAAGGCGGCGAACATGGCCATACCCAGAAAGCCGGCGCCCGCTCCTATTTTGTAGTTGCCTGGCGTTCGAGCCCACATCTCGCGCAGAATGGCGTAGTTGCTTGGCTGCAGACGGTGGTAGGATTCGCGTTGGCGGAAACGCAGGAAGTAGGCCTCGACTCCAGGTAGTTTACCGAAGGTCCAGTAGTAGTTCTCGAATCCCAGTTGGTAGAGCCGATGCAGCAGTAGTCCTAGAGATATGTCCGCCAGTGTTATCTCATCGCCCATCAGCCACTCAGTTTTCGGAGCCTGGGCGGAGAGTTCTTGCTCCACATACAGCAAAAATGTCCGAACAGCATCTAAAACGCGCTGGAAGTCTGTACGGGACGTGACCAGGTCCCATCGACGAATTTGAATATCCAGCTTCTGCTGCAGAGCATTTTTGTTGGCAGCGTCCTCCAAAGACTGGCGGATTAGATCGATCACCTTTTCGTTGTTCTCTGTGAGATTTTGGACGCCTTAATTTGGGTAACTTATTAAGATGGGTGTTACTCACTCAGGCAGGTGTGTCGGATGGGCCCTACGAAAGGAGCCTTGGGCGTTAGCCTCAAATCATCGTGAATAAAGGAGCCCAGACTAAGGGCACCCACTGGCAGACGGCTCACTGCGTGTTCGTAGACCATCACATCGTCGTAGTCCTTAGAGTTGTGCGGAGGTTTCAAGGATGGATACTTCTCTGGAACGAATAACGATATGGGTAGTTGGAACTGGAGGTTAGATGTGGCCGTTGGCTACCTCCACGGAATTTGCTTTCCAGATAGTTGATGATGGCCACCGAATTTGGAATGACAAAGGCTCCATCCTGGATTACTGGCACATCGCCCTTGGGATTAAGACTCAAGAACCAGCTGGAATATTGCTCGCCATTGTTAAGATCCACCACGTAGGGGAAAAAGTCAATTTTCTTTTCGTAAAGAACGAGGAGAACCTAAAGGTGGATTTGGAAAAAGGGTTTTAAATATTTTTGAAAAATTCAAATGGTTTCTAACATTTTTTCTAAGAATTTTATTTTCATTTGGATTGCTAATTCTTTTTTTTAAAAGTTTGTTTATTCTGTATTTGCTGTTTGGAAGCAAAACTATTAATCATCTATAATTAATCATTTCTCAAAATATTTAATGATTAATTATTAAAATAATAATAATTAAAGAATTATTAAACAAAGGTTTAAAAGATTTCTAGCTTAAAAGCTTTTAATTACTAGTCTTGATAGTTTCTAGATTTTATTTCCGAATCACTGCTATATAGATATATTTTAAACTAAATCGGTTCTCTACGGCTACTGTTTATTTTCGTATTTATCTAGTTTTGTTTTCTTCAGTCGATCCATTTAATTAGCACCTGGGGTAAGCAAGGTAAACAATATATAAATCAATCCTATGCTGTCATAAGCCCAGACTTAACGTCCAGAGGGCTCCCCTACTACATGCCCTCACTACGCCGTCATGCTCCATTGCACCCGATTTGGATGAGCGGGGACGGGAAAGCCTACTCCGTGTAGGGCATCCCATCGCAGTCATTACAACGATAATGAAATGATGACGATTCTGACTGACGATGATTTGTTTTGTAATTTCGCGGCATTTGCGCTGATGGATCTGGTCGAGGCAAATAATTTTTTCGAAGATCACATGATTAGTGTCGACATCGGGGCTACTAACTTTTTGCGAATAGAAGTTGTACGGATGGAAGAAGAGCACTATTTTGTTGTCCGGCAGCACAGGAGCCTTAAAATCCTGCAAGGTAGGCGGCAGTGGTGCAATCTGTTTTGCCTGATCACTCATTATTAAATTATTAATTTAACTTTTAAATATATGTAAATTGTTAATTAATTTCTTAGTTAGTTGAGCGTTTTTTCACTAGCATAAGGGCTTTCCGCCTATCACATGCCCCGGTTGCGAGAACGAATGAAAAGCCGTAAGCGCGTGCCGGAGTAAGTTAAACGGAATCGGGTAACTACCGGATACGAACGGCTACTGAAAGCTAGAGGACTGTCTCCGCCGACGGCTACTGATCGAGTGGAGTAAAAAAGATGTGCCGGGTAGTTTCTAAAGCGGCTCTGATCGCTTATATATGTTTATTTTTTTATTTTTAGCAAATTCGATAGCCATATTTGCACATTAGGGTGGTGATCTACATTTTTTTTAAAAAAATAATAACAAATAATAATGACTAAATGTATTATAAGACAAGAGACGTTTTAGAAACATTGTTTTTAAAGAACAGATAAAATTACTCATACGACCTGTATGCCCTTTCAAATTGTTTTGACTTGCATTACTTTGAAATATAAATATTAAGTCAACAAGATTGATTTAAAAAAATTATTTGTTTTTCTCTTCTTATTTTAGAAATTGAAAATCATTAAAATTTTTACTCAAAAGAGTCACCCAAAAATGTGTAAATAAATGTTTTAAACTCGACCTAGTCCATTTAGTCGAGTAATACCTCTCCGTCTGTGGCTTGTTTGTCATAATTATTATCTTTGTTTATATTATTATTATGAAACGAGGCTTTTATCTTGCTATTGGGAGATTTTCGTTTCAAAAGACCTTATCAGCCCATAACTGAGATTTCGGAGAGAGTTAAGAAAGTGAAATATTCATTCTTGTTGAATAAATCCTATTCTTATTAATTTCTGTATAAAATTCTTTTTGTAGTTATATTTGTTTGACTAAAATCTAGTATGACTAAACTCATTTAATCTTCGGCTTACTAAGCTACCGCAAGCTTTATCATATTTTCAAAAAATACCGCCAAGGTCTTTGAAGAGCTTTCAGCTTCGTTGTGAATGGCTAACCGCCAAACAGAAGAAGAGTTTCTAAACAAGTTTATGATGTGATCTCTTGGAAACTTTAAATTGAAAAATCAATTGTTAGGCAACAAATTGGATATCCTTCTTATAAATATCCCCCTCTAAAATGTTGCATTTGGGCAAGCAACTGGTGTTCAAAGCGCCAAAAATCCGGATCAGTCCTGCCGTTGTGACTGGAAATGGACAAAGTTCAAACCGGAATCTCGATCAAAACAACAACAATTACCAGCAAACACTTGTTGGCCACAATCTATGCCACAAACGCCTGTCCAGTAGCAGTAGTCAAAGTTCAAACATCGCCCCAATGAAACGCTTAGCAGGAAAAGTTGCCGTGGTCACCGCCTCCACCGATGGGTAACAAAAACTCAGACTCTCTGTCAAGATATACTCGTCCTTACAAATGAATCCCTTCCAGCATTGGCTTCGCCATTGCCAAGCGATTGGCTGAGGATGGAGCTGCCGTGGTCATCAGCAGTCGAAAGCAGAAGAACGTGGATAACGCTTTGGCAGAACTGCGAAAACTGAACCTCAACGTGCACGGACTCAAGTGTCATGTGGGCGAAGCTCAGGACCGCAAACAGCTCTTCGAGGAGACCATCAGCAAGTTCGGCAAGCTCAACATTTTGGTCAGCAACGCAGCCACCAACCCAGCAGTGGGCGGTGTCTTGGAGTGCGATGAAAAGGTCTGGGACAAAATTTTCGACGTGAACGTAAAGAGCTCCTACATGCTGGCCAAGGAGGCCCTTCCGCTTCTGCGGCAGCAAAAGGGATCCAGCATAGTCTTCGTGTCCTCCATAGCGGGCTACGACGCCTTTGAGGTTAGTCTACTTTGGTTATCAGTGGGTCAAGTGCTTGTGGCTTATCTTAATCCGTAATCTTTAGCTACTAGGTGCCTACTCTGTAAGCAAAACGGCTCTAATTGGACTGACTAAAGCTGCAGCCAAGGACCTAGCTCCCGAGGGCATTCGTGTGAACTGCCTTGCTCCCGGTGTCATCAAAACCAAGTTCTCCAGGGCTCTGCATGAAGAGGAAGCGGCCAACGAAGCTGCCCTTAGCAAGATACCCATGGGACGGCTGGGCACCAGCGAAGAAATGGCCGGCGTGGTCTCTTTCCTAGTCTCTGAGGACGCTAGCTACATTACCGGAGAATCGATAGTGGCAGGAGGTGGAATGTCGGCTCGCCTTTAAGCATTGTGTATAAATATATTTCCTTAAAGTCTATGGATAACAGCAGTGTTCACAGTAATGATAAAAAAATACATGTACCATATTCTGGGGACTACGAGGAGCGTAGTTTGGCCAGCTGGTCAGCGATGTCCTTCTCCGTGCGCTTGCCGGCGGTTTCGAGATCCCCTGAGCCCGTAGCTGGGATGCTGGACATTTTTCCGGAGATCTCAATACCGATCTCGTCAAGCACCTGGTTGACCACCGCATTGGACTCGTCTTCATCTCCAGACTCGTTCAGCATATCGTCCAGAGTGTCGTTGATCATTTCGTCGGTCATCTCCATTTTCATATTGGCAGCCTGGAACTGTCTCACCGTCGCTCCGATGGCCTCAGGACGCATCACCTTGTTCATACCAGCCATGGTCTTGGCGGTGGTGCCCATGGCCTCGCTGAGCGCTATGTTGGCACCCATGTTCTTGTTCTGATATCCAATCGACTGTATCTTTCCAGCGGCAGCGTAGGTGCGCGATTTCTGCTTCCTGATCTCCACCAATTGCTTGGCAAGAATGCGACAGGCATCGTTGTTTCCTGCGGCGGCAGTCTTGCGAATCTCGGCCTCCAGTTTCTTCTCCTCCTCCTCGAGCTTCCTTCTTTCACGTTCAATGTCCCTGGTGGCCTTCCTCAAGGATCGATCATTCTCGCGCTGCTGCTCCTTTACGGTGGGTGCTTTGCCAAAAATATTATTAAACATTTTAGAATTTATAAAGTTTTTCCAAAAGTACGATGCTGCTGAGGTATGATGGTTTTTCCTGGTGATGAATCACTTGGCGCTATCGGTGTAAACATCCAAAACAGGGAACAACAGCTGACGACGTGTACGCGTTTCGCTGTGAATGTCCCAAGGGGGGGCCCCCACTAATCGACAGGGTGACCTGTGCACACATGATTTAAAGTAAACATTCGGCGAGTTTTTTAATAACCTGAAGATGTCGTTGGAAATCCTGAAGCAAGGAGCCGAGGGGCGGCTCTATCTCGGCAATTACAAAGGGGAATCCTGCCTGATTAAGGAGCGGTTCGTGAAGAAGTACCGTCACCCGGATCTGGACACGCAGATCACGCGGCAGCGCATGAAGGCCGAAGCTAAGGCAGCTGGTCGGTGCCTGGCAGCCGGCATCCTGGCTCCCCGGATCCTCCACTCGGATTTGAATACCCACAAACTGTATATGGAATACTTTGAGAAAGCCCAGACGGCCAAGCAATTCATTCAGGAAACGGTGGCTGGAAAGACGGAGGATCTGGCGAAGCAAACTCTAGAGGATCTATGCACTAGGATTGGTGGAATCATTGGCAAGATGCACTCGAACCACATTATTCACGGAGACTTGACCACGTCGAATATACTCATTAATCCGAAGGACGGCGACTACGACGTTGTCTTCATTGATTTCGGGCTGAGCCACTACAACCAGGCAACCGAGGACAAGGGTGTGGATCTGTATGTTCTGGAACGGGCTCTGCTCAGCACGCACAGTGAGCAACCCTACCTTTTCGAGAGCATTCTGTCATCCTACCGCAAGGAGTGCGGCAAGGACGAGGAGGCTGTTTTAGCCAAGTTTGAGGAGGTCAGGGCGAGAGGACGCAAACGCACCATGATTGGTTAACGAAAATAAACTTTAATGGCTTTAAAACTTTAAAACTTAATCTATTCTCCTAAGAGGCTCTTTGGGAGGGTCATCTTGGAGCTGGTCTATCTTTATTTTCTTTATGTATTTCCGGACTTTGGTTTTTCGCTTGATCTGATCCGTTTTAAGGGGTTCCAGGCCTTCTTCCGTCTGCTCCTTGAACTTTGCATATGGACTTTCCTTTACTTTGGCAATGGCGTCTTCAAGTTTGAGGCCATTGAGTCCAACCTCCTCGTAGTAGAGACGATACTTATCACAGAATTTCGAGTGTCCCTTTTTGAAGGCTGTGGACTTGGTGGACGGATGCTGAAAAATATTAAAATAGTTAAAATTCATTCAATAGAAAGATCTAATTCCAAACATACCCTTGCATCGATGGCTCTGGCGCAGCCTCTGTGGAAGTTGTACAGGTGTCTCAGAAAAGGTTCGTTGGGTTTCACACCCTCCTCCAGGCTCAGCTGCATAATCTCATTGATGTAACCAAAGGACTTTTGGGCACATCCCTGCCGCAACATAGCTCCCAAAATGGGCATGTTTATCTTGACGCCCGCCACCTGCATTTGTTGCAAAAGTTCTCTGGCTTCTTCCTGAGTGCGACAGCCCAAAGCAAGAACTCCATAGGTCACAATATCCGGACGCAATCCAGCGGTGCGGATCATGGACAGAACTTCCTTGGCGCTCTCGTAATCGAACCGCATCGATCGTTTTTTTATCAAAATATTAAAGAAGTCGATATCCACTTTTAGGCCAATCTTACGCACAAAAGCGAGCAACTGCTTCTCCGCTGCATGTGTTGGTGGGATCACCTCCAGCATCGTGGTGAAAGTTTCGATGTCTGGGGTGATCTGGTGCTGTTTCATAAGCTCTAGGAAGCCTGTGAGGCCACCCAGTAGGAGGAACCGTTCATGGGGACGCGTCACCTCCTCCAAAGCCACCAAGCTTCCAAGATGGGGACTGGGCAGTAAGAGATTCGGCAGCTCCAGTTCGCTGGCTGTTGTGGCTACCTCGATTTGTGCAGGAATGGAAGATTCTCGAGCAGCTGTGCTTGGTAAATCGCTCTTCTCTCCATCATCCAGCTGCAGAACTCCCTTTTTTTGGGCTGCGGATGGTGCAATCTGTTCGAGGACTTCTCTCATCGCATCCAAATCCCCGAAACCACAATCCCGGACGCATCTAAGCATAGCGTTAAAGCTATAGTAGTCTGGACTGATTCTTTGTTGCAGCATCTTGTGCCATGTGAGAAGGGCATGGCGGAATCCATGCTCCGCGTTGCCAGCACACGCTTGTAACAAAAAATTAAACGTCTCGGCATTCATGTCCAACTGACGCTCTGCCATTTCATCGGCTAGCATGTAGGCCGTGTTTACATCTCCACATCTACCATAAGCCTTGATCATGGCATTGTAGTTCTTCACATTCGGTTCGTATCCCTTCTCCAGCATGTTCTCCCTAAGGATCTGGGCCTTGGCCAGACCATCGCTAGCCGCCGGAGCATTAGCGCAGGCATTAAAGAGAGAAGTGTATGTTCCCCCGGTGACGGGCAATCCTCGCTGACGCATCTTGGTGTACAGGGAAAAGGCTTTTCGTGTATAGCCAGCCTTGGCACAGCCGCTTATTAACAGGTTATAGATGTACTTGTCCGGCTTGACCCGATCCTCACGCAGCATTCGCGTTTCTAGAACAGCAATGGCCTCGTTTAGCCGGTTAGCTTTCAGATAATCCTTGATCTGACGAGCATACTCCACAGCCTGAAGTTTCTTGGAGCGCCGAGTGGGTGAGTTAATGTATGCTTCTTCTTCTGCATCTCCGGGATCCTCTGGGTGACTATTGACTACCTTCGCATCACCAAATGTATCCGGGTCGCCAAAATCCCGAATCTTTTCCGGAACTCTTTCCTTCGGTTTTTCTTTATTTTTCCTGCGCTGCGTGACTAACTCAGTAATGTCCTCCGGCTTGAACTCTTCCTTGAATGGATTTTGATGCCTGTTGGATTCTCTTTTAGCTTTTAGCCCAGCTTCCTCATCTGTTATCCGCACGTGCAAATGCCGGTTATGTCCCAAAACCCATGGGACAGGAGGAGCCAATTCTCGATTCATGTTATAACTATTAGGGCCCCTTCTAGTAGCATTCCACTGCATGCTACGCATATGGGGAACCAATGAGCGGCTGAACAACCGCAAAGCCATACTTTCTGTTGAAATTTTCAGTGAAATTTATGTAATTAATAAAATAATTCAAACGCGCTGGTCCTCCGTGGGGTAAATAATAAACAGCTGTTTGTCAGAGTTGCCACCGAAGGTAATCCGGCATTCACAAGGAAACGGCTAACCATTCACATTCCTCGCAGTGGGCCGTGCAATCTGACCTGATTTTCGTTATTTTAATGATTAGTGAAAATTAAATAAATTAAACATGAGTATCACCGTAGACCCACGCAGAAAAGAAAAGATCAACCGCTACAAGGCCCCTAAGAATCAGGGCCAAGGTGGTGGCGCTAACGAGGACATGATGCCGGATTACATGAACATTCTGGGAATGATTTTCTCGATGTGCGGGCTGATGATGAAGGTATTATCAAATGAACACCACCATATTTGGGTTATCTTTAACTGAAAGTTCTTTCTGCAGCTCAAGTGGTGTGCCTGGTTCGCATTGTACTGCTCTTGCATCAGTTTTGCCAGCTCCCGGGCCAGCGATGACGCCAAACAAGTACTGTCCTCCTTCATGCTCAGTGTCAGCGCCGTATTGATGTCGTATCTGCAAAATCCGGCCGCAATGACTCCGCCGTGGGCCTCTTAGCAGTGAGAATAGAGCTTGGTAACCTGTCACCAACCATTCTTTAGATAATAACAAACCCATTTCTAGCTTGGATGATAATATGAAGTTTATTTGGAACCAAAAGGGATAAAAATGAATTACAGGCTGTTTAAATAACATAGGCGTGGGTGGGGGAGTGGAGGTAGTGTGATTCAGCTTGTACGTTGGGCGTGGAAATCCATTAAACTCTCGCTCTAAGTGGTAAGCAGGTAGTAGGCGAATAGTACAAAAGCCACGATGTAGATGGTGCCGACGATCAGGACGTATTAAATCTCCCCAAACTGGTCGTGACCCGTCTCCTCGGCGTGATGCTTGGCCTGAAGTTGGCCCACCAACATTACATCGCATTGCATACATCTCAGTGTGAACTTGTCCACGTTGGTAAACTGTCTTGATGACTTGGCCTCGTTGGCTAACTGCTCTGCCTGATGGTAGACCCCCATTTCCTCCACTGGAAAGATGGTGGCAGGGGCAGTGCTCTGGGCAGTCTCCATGTAGAGCGGGTCGTAGTGGATTCCGTCAAAGAGCAGGAAGACGCGCAGTCCGAAGTTCTTATCCTCGCCGAACCGATTGATTATTGCATTCTGGATGTCCACCACGTCAATCTCGATGCCGTAGTAGTTGGACAGAATAGACACCTCGATGGCGCCACCCCAAGAGTCGGCCTTCTGGATCCAGGAACAGTACTCGGCATTAGACTTTCCCAGTACGGCGTCATTGTACTGTTGAGTATCCGCGGCCACTTCCTGGGCAATTATATGGCGCATCATCTCGCTGCCTTCGTTGTCCACCTTCCCGTTCAAGACGAACCGGATGCTGGTGAAAAGGCACGAATTATCCGCTGGGACCACCTTTTTCAAAAGAATGCCGTTGAAGTCACCGTTCGGCCCGCTTTCCGTGGGTGCCACCGGGCGATCCTGCTGAGGGCCAGCAGCTCCAGAGGCAGCCTCTTGTCGCAGCTGCTCTGCATCCTCCTCTGCCTGTAGGCGACGCGCCAGTGCCTCGTCGTCCTCCATGGTGGACCCGAATGTTGTAGTGGCAGTAGAAGCTGGAGCGGACGCAGAAGCGGGACCAGGAGTGGCGGCCGCCTTCTCCTCTACAATCAATGTCTCCCCGCTGTTAATTCCCACGGTTTGGAGGTTCTCCTGCTCCTTCTGCTGGGAGAGGTCTAATGGTTTGGGTGGATAGCCCACGAGGACGTGCAATTGCGGTGGCTGGATAGCGGTGGCCTGGGCTATTCTCGTTTTTAGTTCTCCAAGCGTTGTATTTTCGTTCAGATCACTGACAATAAATTGACCTTTTTTGGATTTTAGTTTTACACTGAAAGAACCCGTCATTGTTCTAGACTGCTGGGGCGCTCCTGCTCTTTTGCTAAGGTGACTGTGTGAGTGCAGGTGGGTGTGGGTGTACTTCGAATTTGGACTGACTGTGATTTGGTAACTTATATATTGTCTAAAATTTTTCCTATATGTATTACTTTTTCTTGTTTTATTCAGTTGTTGTTTTATTTTAGTGTGACCAATGGTTTTGATGATTTTCTTCCAATTGGAACTAACGGAACAACCCTAAAAATTCCAATTGGCGGAGACCGTTACGTTTTTGAATTTTTAAAAGATGGTCTTTTGCCAATAAACTTAAATTATAAATAAAATAAAATTGAAGCTTTAAATTTTGAGAACACTATTCTTCCAAAAAGACAAAATTTCATTTTTTGACTCGGTTCTTAATTTTTAAATAAAAATATGTGCTCTTTTTAAAAAGCATAACGTTTGAATATTTCACACTCTTATCTAGTTAAGGCCAACATCCTGTACCATAAAGATTAAAATGAAACTATTTTAGGTCTATTATGCTGGTGTGAAAAGAACTCAATGGCTAATAGCTGACTCGGCGTTAAGGCCAATGTCAAGCCGCTAATTAGTATTTAGCAGAGAATTTGTTCACAGCTAATGGCCAGAACAAATAGAAGCCAGAACCAAGGAAACGCCGATTAGCAAAAAGAGATAACTCCGGAGAAACCGCAACCAAGCCAATACAAATTGCCCAAAATGTGGGCTCAGAGCCACTCGGACAATGCAACCACAAAAAGGTAGCCCGAAAAGGTGAGAAATGATCCACAAATGAGACAGTTTGGGCCGGCTTTTGTTATCGCGATTGCTCCATATGCGTGGTACGCTAAAATCACTTTTAATAGTCCAAGCAAATTGATTGCCCGCCTTGCCCGACTCACCGAATCTTCGAGCCTCCGCCGGTCGTTGTTTTAATTTCTATGAAAGACGAGCAGTCTGCCGGCCAAGCCACTTACAGCTCTCGACTCACATCTCACGCCTGTCGGCTGTCGGCATATAAATAGACGAGTCGGCGTTGTCTGTGTTCAGTGCAAGCAGGTCTGTCAACGATCATCGATCAAATCAAGCCCAACCAGTCACAATCAACATGAAGTTCTTGCTCCTGGTGCGTCTGCCGTGCTGAATGGATTACCGAGCTACCTTACTCACTATGGATTATCTGCTTCGTGTCCTTTTCAGAGTGTCTTCCTTTGCCTTGCCGTGTGCCTGGTTCTCACCAACGCTGCGCCCCGAGAGGAGGCTGTGCCCGAGGGTCTGGAAGGACCTGGCAGTGAATCCGTCAACCCATCGGACGACCAATCCTTCCTGCTCAAGCTGAAGCTGCTTAAGAAACTCCTCTTCCTGGGTTAGACTTGGCACACTGGATTAAGCCGGGCTTCTCGAGCACGGATGTTTAGATTAACTATGTGTTTAGACTTTTAAGAAAAAAACAAAAGACAGAAAAACATGAAATGAATTAAAAATACTTTTTTGGTCAAAGAATCATAACTCAGTGTTACTTTTTGTGAAGATGGATGGTGAAAATCAAGTTTGTTTCTTAAGTCATTTGTTCAATTATCCATTTTAAACCCTAAAACGCACTTCCTGATATTTGTATTTGTTTGTACAAGATCAAAGTTCGCCAAAGATCAAAGATACTCCAAAAACGGAGTATCATTTATGAATCAAAAGTCCAATCGACATCGATCGCGAAAAAGTTTGCAAACAATTTTGGCAAATTTTTGACAAAAATTACGATGAAAAGTAGGTAAAATTTGTTATTATCATTTTTTGATTTAGAATAAAGATACCGGCTGCTCCAAGTTCGGGAAGGTGTAAAATTTCTGAGTCGGCCAAGTATTTGAAGAGTTTTTCCCTTGTTTCTTTCAAAATATTAAAAAATGGAACGTTTTTGACACTTATTTATTTAGCCGAAATCGGATATTTTCATACAGTTTTTAGTAAATATTTTCATTATTTAGAAACCTATTCAAAAACGGAATACCATTTATGAATAACAGTTCTAATCGTCATCGATCTGCATCAAAATAACAGAAAAATGCAACAAAAAAAATGTTGGCTAATTTTTGGCGAAAATCATGAGGGTACCCCTTGGAAAAATTGCGAAAAATTGGTAAAATTTTTTATTGCCAGCTTTTAAAACAGAATGAATCTACTCAGAAAACCTTAATCGGGAAGGTATAACATTTCTGAATCCTCCAAGTATTCGCCGAGTTATATATATTTTTGTATTTAAAAAATTGAAAAATGGAACCACGTTTTTGAAATTTATTTATTTGTCTGAAATCGAATCTTTTCATACAGTTTTATGTAAATATTTTCATTATTTATAAACCTATTTAAAAACGGAAGACCATTTACGAATCACAGTTCTAATCGCCATCAATCTGCATCAAAAGAAAAGAAAAATGAAACAAAAAAAATTTTGGTAAATTTTTGGCGAAAATCATGATGGTACCCCTTGAAAAAATTGCGAAAAATTGTTAAAATTTTTTATTGCTAGCTTTTAATATAAAATGAATCTACTCGATGTCCCTTAATCGGGAAGGTATAACATTTCTGAATCCGCCAAGTATTCGCCGAGTTATACACATTTTTGTATCTAAAAAAATGAAAAATGGAACCACGTTTTTGAAATGTATTTATTTGGCCGAAATGTAATTTTTTCATACAGTTTTTACTAAATATTTTCAATATTTAGAAACCTATTCAAAAACGGAATACCATTTATGAATCACAGTTCTAATCGCCTTCGATCTGCATCAAAAGAAAAGAAAAATGCAAACAAAAAAATTTTGGTTAATTTTTGACGAAAATCATGATGGTACCCCTTGGAAAAATTTCGAAAAATTTTTAAAATTTTTTATTGCCAGCTTTTAAAGCAGAATGAATCTAATCAAAAAACCTTAATCGGGAAGGTATAACATTTCTGAATCAGCCATGTATTTGCCGATTTATACACATTTTTCTATTTAAAAAATTTATTAACCAAGTTCTGAGCTTTTTGCGTAGTTTTAGTGGATATTTTAACATTTCGCCACCTATCCAAAAACGAAACACATTATCTACATTGAAAGATGAAACATTTAAAAAATCAGACAAGAATTATTTAGAAAATTAAATGTAAATATGCCAAACTTGAGTTTAATTATTCCACATAAACAACAGATTTAATAAATATATTTTAAAATATATGTGTTTCTAAAAGAGTATTAAAGTCTTTTTGGGTATCCTAACTTAACTTAATGATTTTTTGAAAGAGTATAAAAGCTTCGGCTTAGTCCGATAACTTTTCTTGTGGATTTTCGTTTATGTAGGACAGCGATTGGCCAATGCCTGCAATATGTAAGTGCTTTTGAGGCCCGCAAAGGAAGATGCCGTTCGCTTTTCACACTCTCACTCCTCGTGCCAGCAGGGGAACTCGTTATTCCCATTGATATCTAAATAAACAAAAACTCGACCTGCTGCCAGCAGTGGTCATTAGCTCCTTATAGGTCGGACCTGAAGCTGGAGCTGGTGATCCCCCAATCGATGACATAAGAAAGCCGACTGGCACTCGCCATTTGTTGTATGAAAATTAAATTTATTACGTATACTGGACTCATATGTGTGTGTGCATGGGTTTATGGTATTTTCTAGGCAAAGGAGCTTAAATTTTGAATATGTTCCCAACTATTTTGAGTTGGATGTGTTGAGTGGACTTGGACTAGAATCTGAACTGAGCTGAACATGCTGAAAGCAAATTAAGGAGCTTCCTAGCCCAGGAGTTTCTTCAGCTTAAGCAGCTTCTTCAGCTTGAAAAGGGCCTGGGGATCCTGAGGACGTTGGACATCATCAAAAGCTGGTTGGTAAATGTTATCCCCAATCAAGGACTCATCCACGGGAACTGAAGAAACAATGGCAATAGCCATCAGGCAAACGAAAAGTGTCTAAAAGAGATTATAGAGTATTATATTAATCCATTTAAGATTTCTTTAAACCTCATCTTACCAGGGCCAGGTACTTCATGATTGCTTTTGCTGGGTAGATGTTACGCTGATTAATCCAAAAATCGACTGCACCTGGCTCCATCTGTGATCAGAGGTTTATATAGCCGGACAACTGCCGACCACCGATGATAATGTCATATGTAAACTGCAATCTGCAATGTGGAGAACTGGACAAATGAACGATACATAAACAAAAGGCAGAGGAATAAATGAGACATCGGACCAAAAGCAATATCGGTAAACAAAAAAATCAAAAACTGGCCAAAAGGCAAGCAAAGTGGAGCTGAGGGGCGTGGCCCTCCGAGGGCAGGTGCAAATCAGACGTCTTTAAACAACTAAAAACCGAAAACTAAAACACCGAAACCAAGTCGCCCTATTTGCTTTTGCTGGCATCTTTTGTTTACCTTTGTGTGAGCCTCTGAAGAAGTTGATCGCTGATTAAATAATAATCGTACTGAGTAAATGAAAACAAGGCTTAAACGAAGGTCAATTCGAATGGGGTATTTGGTCAAGTTTCGGTGGAATATTCGAGGAAGTTTACCAAGCTTACTAATTCCAGTATCACCCACTTAATGTCTCGGTTTAAACAGTTTAACACTTCAAGTTCAAGAGCAATGCGTTGACGCCCCTTGCCAAAAGATCAGTCAATGGCCAAGCCAATTTAGTAAATTATCACTTGAGAACGAGAGTGAATATCAAAGATCCGTAAATATTTGCCACTTCTACATAGTTTCCATCAAGCCTGAAGACTGGAAACACTTGATCAATAAAGGTGCTGCTAAATGATGGAACTTTTTGGGCTGGGCTGCGTCATAAAACAAAACCATAACTGATACCATTACGGAGGCCACTCGTTTCTGCCAAGTCATTGGAGGCGACGATGATCTTGCAGTTGATCTGTTTCATCCAAAAAAAAACCGGAAACAGATGCCCCACTCTAATTATGTAAATTTACGCACTTTCGAGAATGCCCAAAGGCCAATGTCAGCTCCAAATAAATTCCATAGTTGTTACTCGTAAATAAATGTCTATAGTGCGGTTGTCAAAGCAAAGCTTAGCGCTGCAACAATGTAACAGATAAGATTGAATGAATGTCTTTGAGGCGCTTATTTGTCGTCGCGGTTTTATTTCAAGTTCGTGTGTGTTTTTTATAAGTTTCCCATGCCCCTGGGACTTTCAATTAACTGATATAGGCTTGGCTGAAGTCATGGGTGAGATGTCTCAATTTGTAGGTGTTATAAAGATTTGGGTTATAAAATATGGCTAAAAATTTGCAAAAAATACAAGTCTTTCTTTAGTTGTAATCATTGGGAGCTTCATAGTCATCTTCACTTGGTTCCGTCACTTTCTCATAATGATCTTCAGTTGGCTCAGTAACCTCTGAACTTGACTGAGTCCTCGGGGTGGTGGTGGTGGTCTGAGGTTTAGTGACTCTTTCTGGAGTTTGTCCTTCATCACTACTATCGAAGCTAGAGGGCTCCTTATATCCCGGTGGTCGCTTCATTACAAACTTTATTCGGCAGGAAACCAGCTTGATAACATCCTCGTAAACCTGAATGAGTTCCAACAGTGCCATGTATCTGCCATCTGGAATCCGAAAGGGAACCAGTTTAACATCAAAAGTGCTATTTTCCACATAATAAAATCCTGGAACTAGAGGACAGGAAACGAAAAATGTGGAGGGCAGGACACTTTCGCCCTGGATGTTCTCCAAAGTTATATTTCGCAGAGAGTCGAATATCTTGCACAGGTCCAAGTTCCTAAAGCGCAGCAGGTCCTTGGTGTCTGATCCACCCATCTGGTTGGAGAGTTGCCTCACAAAGATGTGCATCAAGAGCTTGCCGGGAAAGGGGACTCTTACAGTAAGGTTCACGTTGATCACCTCGAAGTTCTCTATGACATAGGATATGTGGATTTCATCCGGAACAAAGGACTTGGCATAAAACTCCTCTACTTGCAAGTTAAGCTAAAAGAACCAAATTCTGGAAAGCGAATACATAATTTATTCAAAAAACTCACACTGTGGACCTCGAAAACGATCATTAAAATCAGACTCTGAAGTAACCACATTGCTGAATGATTAAAAAACAAGCTGGCCGAAATTTGTGGACATTTGGCAACGAGGAAATTAGCCTCATTACCGATCTGTTTAGTCAGGGCACGTTAACTGGACTAATGACTTGATTGCAGACCGATTCTTATCAATGGCCATCAGGTATGAGACCTACAGGGCGTATGCGTAATGTGGGTGTGCTTAGAATGAATGCTAACATGGCGTATACTTGATCATATCTGACATTTGAGTAAACCATACTCGACCGACTATCCGCAATGAGTATTTACCCAACTCGACTGTCAAACAAAAACAACGTGTCTAACGTGGAATATAACGACGCATTTATAAAGACGATAAAGACGGGACCTGGACCCAGTTGCGAATTCAACGCTCGTCACTGGCCAACTGATGAACTTGAACCAAAAAAAAAATATAAATGAATAAAAAACAGGCAAGAAAAGAGAAAAATAATAGTGAAACTGAATACTGTAAAGTTTGCCATGTAAACGGACATAAATTGTGCCGCCGGAAAGCAAAGGCGAACAAAAGTCTCGGATAAATCATCCCAAAACAAAATGTATGTATGCCAGTGGACCATAAATTTGAGCATTTTTATTGCAATTTGCTTGTTTGTACCAAAAACAAGTGCAAACAACGGCCAGCAGTAACAATACCAACAATAACAACAACAACAACACCACCAACGATGGCAAACAAATGCTGCCTTAAGCCGCAAACTACAGTGAAAGTGACGTAATGCTACAAAAACGGGCAAAAAATATGTATAAAAAACCATTAAACAACGACAACAAAGTAAAGAGAAACGGCGGGGGACAGCAGAAAAAAAATGTCAATGTCTTTTACAAGCAAGCCGTGGAGGATGAACAAGAAGAAGCGCCAGCTGACCAAAGGGATCAGTGTGGGCGGAAGTTCAGTGGGCTGAATGGGAGGGGTATGCATAAGGGATAAAGGACGAAGTCGCAGCCGTAGTAGTAGCAGGCGATGCGAAAAAAGTAAACAATGTTGGCCCAGCGACCTTTGGCGATGGCTGCGGGCACGTGTTGCAACTATCGAAGTAGGAATTCTTTTAAGTTTTTCAACTTAATTTATTCTTAAGAATAAACTTGCCTAATTTTTGAATTAGAAATTAAAATTCAAAAGGAACAAATGTCTTATTAATATTATTTATAAAAGTAATAATAAGTATCTCTTAGTATTTTATAATTAACTTTTCTGTCAGGATTCTGCTACTAAAACTACCTCAGCTACATCATCAATCAGCCATAGGAATGTTTTGAACAGATAACAAAATTACTTTTCCGAATCATACGCCCATCTGTCAGGTCAGTAACTAGGGAATACTTTATTTATGGCCTTAAAAGTTTGTAAACTGGTAATTATTTAAGCCAATAAGTCTACTGAAAAAAATGGTCTAGCCCGATTGTCGTGAAGTATGATTACCAATCAAATACTCCTTCCTGGTTTCTTAACTAAACAAAACAGAAACAAAACTATTAATTCAACAGTTTCTTAGACTTCTATTCTCTATATATTTTATGAACCCAACCCTTTTCACGTAAACATCTCTATAGGACATAGCTTCTGTGGTTTTACGTGAAGCATGAAACTGAAAACTGAAAAATTCACATGCATCCGATGTCAGCTTGCATTTTATTTACTTCTCTGCTCTGCGTTTTCTTTTGCCTTTTCGTATATTTTATGCGTTCAGCGTTTTTTATCGCCAGCATTTACAATTCAATGTCACGCCAGGCATTGTTTTTGCCGGTTTTTTTTTTTGTTGGAAATTGCCAAATTGTAGCAGAAGACCGGCCGATAAAATAAAAGAAGAAGCTGCAACAGCAAAGATCAACCAGATCGCTTCTGTGGCATAAACCGGTTAGTACCAGGGCATGTCCCGCCCAGCCTCGGACAATGCAGCTCCAATGCTAAATGAAGTGTGTAACGTGACCTTGAGACCGAAACCCCAACTCCCAACTCGAAGACCATCGTAAAATCCAACTGCAATTGCTGGCCATCCACGGCGCGGTCATCTCTCCATTCATGTATTATTTATGTATGCATGTGGGGTCCGGTCCCGGGGCCCATCGAGTTTTATGAGCTGGCCGGGCTGATAATAATTGTTATTAAGCCCATACATTATGTATGGGGTGCTGAGAAGGGGTGGAAGGGGCTCGATCCGGAAGGGGGTACTATCATTAAGAGTCTAGGCCAGATCCATCAAGATATATCTGTAAAAGGTGGGCGTTATTTGTTGTTGGGGGTTTCCGTCTCAGTTTCTTTCTGGTTTCTGGCTAATGTAGAGTTACGTGAGGTAGGTAATGAACTTACTAGTAGTATTTTCAGTGAATGAAAACTATTTATAGGTAACTTGTAAAGAAAACTTCAATACAGGGAATAAATTTAAGATCAACGGTGTACAAAATTAAAGATCTATCACCTATTCTAGAGATATTTTAAGTACATGTTACAGTACCTTAAGACTTCCAAAAACTAGGACGCTTAAAACTCTTTTTAATTAAACAATTTCACGCATTTAAGTAATAAATCTTTAACCATAGCTATATCCAACTTAAAGATCATAAAAACTTCATTCTCCATTGCGCTTATTCTAACTTTTGTAATTACAGAAGCCAAGATGAGCAAACTCAGTACGGAAAACAATAATTATAATTATTTAGAGGCTATCGCAATATAGCGAGGTTGGCTTTTAAAATGATTCTCTCCTCCATTAAGATGAGTTAACATTATGAGTTAAGATTAGATACAACCCTCTAGGGGTTAGAATCTAGGTTTACTGACGTGTTTATTTTTACAGCCAACACCTGGATTATGGAATTTTTTCTTGTTTAGGCCGATTGATTCCCAAGATCAATGCTAAGTGCTGTAATTAAAGACTTTAGTACATCAGCATAGGAATTTGAATCGCACAGCGTTTACTTGTATTTTTTAGCCTGTCTTGTTGATTTAGCACTTGAGATTTTTGTTTTTCCAGCGGCCCGCCCACTCTGCCAGCCAGCCAGCCCGATATTGGTAGCCGGGTTGGTGTATAAATGGGTATATGCCAAATATATAGTGGCAAAGTGTATCTATAGATAAAATGCAAATTCCCGTTAATTGAATGCCAAACAAAAGCGCAATGGCAGCCGCAACACGGACACTAACAACAACAACAAAAGTAAGTGAAAGGGGTATAGTGCGGAGGGGGTGGTGGTGGTGGTGTTTGAAAAATCAATTAGCAACATAAAATGCTTTTTGGGTTTTAAAGCCTGACTACCTGGGTTAGTTTTCGTAATGGTCTTTCTAGCCATTTCTCTATTCTCTCTCTGGCTATCACTTGGCTTTTAGCTGAAAGTGAGAGAGAGAGTAGAACAAATCCCACTACCACCCACTCACCTACCACCCACCACCCACAAAATAAAAGGGAAACAGAGACTGGAGGCAAGAGGGTATGAGGAAAATCCAGGGAAAAGCGGTGGAAAAACCGCAGCTGCTGCTTTAAATTTATGCCAACGCGGCATTAGAAGCATGGCTTGCGGTTAAATGGGCAGGGGGAGTGGCACCCAAAAGAGGGCGATGGGAGGCGGCCGGGGGGGCATTTCAGCCATATTGGCTAGGTATTGGTAACAGGCACGCGTGTGTGAGTGCTAGTGTGTGGGAGTGTGGCAACATATAGCAAAATGCAAGAAATCAAGGCTTTAGTTGCGGCGGTCGCTACGAAAAATGGCGAGGCGCTTTATGAATATTTATAACACAATGGAGCATGAAAAAGTTGGTTTTTTAGCGGTATGCAAGGGGGCTACTGAACAGGGAGGGTGCCATGGGAGGCGAGATATCCCTGCCGGCTTGTCGATAACATTGCTCGATTGACAGAGACGGCGGGGTTAATGAAAGGATACAAAAATATATAAAAAGTGAGTAAATTTATGGGTTACACATATAGACTTGTTATTAAATCGTTAAATAATTTCATTCACTATTTTTCCTCGTTTCCCATCAAGGAAAACTGCTCGACTTACAATGCAAATGAAAATGCCGAAAGCGGGCCAGCCATCCACCCAGCAGGCGCCCTTTTTAAAAATTCCATTTCCCATGCATTCTATGCATCCTCGCATTTAGATTGGCAATAAATTAATACTTGAACAGGGAAAGTTCTGGAGCAGCTCGCAGCAGACAGGGGAGTGACACACATTGCGAAAATATTTAATTTGGCGAAAATGCCAATCGAACAGACCCTTCGGCAGCCCCATATCGTATGCATATTGCGCATACGCCCCGTGCGCCCGTGGCGACGCCGGCATTAATCAAAGCAGCAATGGAAATTCAAAGCTCATTGGTGGGCAAATTTACAGCAAAAGTTTAAATTAAAAATTTTGCGAAAAATTAAAAAAAATATTCGTTGTGGCAAATCCAATTCCGATATTGATTGGCTGCATTGGTGGAGGGTAGAGGGGATTCAGCAACGGGATTCCCCCAACAGGGCGCACGTGCTGGCGCCATCTAGCGGTCGCTGCATGCAAATTGCCAAATCAGTGCGTGACTTGTAAAATTTCAACAAAACTGGCGAAAAAAAAAACATCTGCGAACAAAAAATGAAATGCAAACTGTTAGTTATGACAAAGCAAACTTAACTAGCGGTTATTTAGTTTCTTTTTCCCTGGTACCTGGTCCCCTGAGCCAAGAGGGGGTGGTGGGGAATAAAATTTCGGAAAATTTTAAACTGGCACGCACGTGTAACGCGCCACAAAGGGGGCAGCAGCCATGGCTTCAAAGGTGGCCCAATCTTTAAGCGCCAGTCAATTACCGAGTTTACAGAATGGCCCGGCTAATAGTTTGCTCATTTGCCACGCCCCCGCCGCCCATTGAAGCCATCCATTCATGACTTTTTTTAATGGCCCTCGGGCAGTAACTCTTTTCTTCGGCTCTCAGCTTGTTTGCTTTTTTGCCGCCAATTTGGTCAGCTACTGTCAAAGTCAAAGGCTAACAAGAGACTCGCACACACAGAGTACAGAGAATAAAAATATATGAAATGGACATATCCCTTTTACATTTTCCCGCCTCGTTCCCCTTGTGCCACGCTTGACCTGCCACTGGGCAGCGTGTGTCCACTTTGCTATTTTTGTATCACAATTTCGATGCTTTTTAAACGATATTTTCATTGACATTCCATAAACATCTTCGCTACGCCATCCGACGGATGCATCGATTCAAAGTTCTGTGTATTTTGAATTTAGATTTCAAGTGCAGAAAGTGGAGCAAACTAACATATCCTGGGACTTCCTTGGGAGTTCAAGTGTCAAAAGTTTTTTTTGGTGAGCTGACAGAGTTTATTGGTTTGTTTGGCCAAGTAAGTCCTGGGAAAGGCCCTAATCGATTCGGACACTTTACAAAATGTTTATCAGACTAAAATAAATAGTTTTATGAAGTGCTGAGAAAAAAAATGAAGGGGAGTTGAAGATGTCGGAGGTAAATAAAATATTATAAACACGTTAAATACTTTCATAAATTAAATTTGAACTTTCAATTTTTACCCTTTTATTTTTTACAATAATTTATGAATGGCAAGATACTGTATCTGCACAAATATTTTCATAATGAAACAAAAAAAGTTTAAAAATATAATTAAGTGAAATTCCTAAGGCTTATCTCTCTTTCCATGCCGTGGTTGGGTATAAAAGGCAAACACCAAATCATATTCTTCAGTAAAAGTTCGCAATGAAGGGGCAGTTGATACTTGGTGTAATTTCCTTTGCCTTTCTTTTCAAAATCGCAATTTGTAACGAATTTCATCGAATTATCGATGGTTACAAGGCCTCTGAAGCACAGTTTCCATACCAGGTATATTTCGATGTACTTGACTTCACTAACTTGGAAAAATCGTCTTATTGGAGCTACGGATGCGGAGGGACATTAGTATCGAAGAGAATTATCCTGACGGCGGCACATTGTTTGGACAGTCCTAAAATGTACGTATAGTCCTATGTGTCTAAAATTTTTTAATTATTTATTTCATTAGCTCTGCAGTTCGAATATATTTTGGAGCTCTGTCTTCGAATGAAACCTTGTTTGAACCTGGTAAAAAACGATTGATTGTTAAACGAAAAGATATTATAATTCATGAGGACTGGGAACCCCATGCACTGTATAATGATATCGCTCTAATAAAACTTCCAATCGATGTCAACTTTAATGAGTATATTCAACCTGCCAAATTACCCTCGCCAACTGTTACCTACATTGGGAGTGAGGCTACTACCTCTGGATGGGAAGGAGTAGATTCGGTATATTCACTGATATCTAAAAATATTGTTTTCTAATTATCTTCTTTATCAGCAGAAGAGAAAGAACCAGTACCCTATCTGAAATACTTTAATGTGTCTATTATTTCGATTGATCAATGCTATAAGGCTATGTTTCGCCATTCGTATAAAATATACCCATCATCTTACATATGCATTCGTCAAAGTAACAATTCACCGTGCCATGGTGACTCTGGAGGACCCCTAATCGTCCATAATGACACGGACTCCGTATTGGTAGGAATCGTGTCGTTCGCAGCGGGCGGTTGTACAGAAAACTACCCAACTGTATACACTAGGGTTTCCTCATACCTGGATTGGATTCGTAAAAATGCTGGCGAGGTCTTAAATGGAACTGAAACTTAAATTAGAATTTTTTGTCTTTCTATGCATTCTTATCTTGTATTCTATTTCAATAAATATTTAAAGGTTATTAATAATATTAAAAATAATATTATTGTCATCGTTGCATTGATAAATTATGCAGTTTTTACTGCTGTTCTTTAGATCCTAGATCATCTAGATTTCAGACTTCAGGGTGAAGAATAATACGGAAAGACATTACTGCCATTAAAAAAATGTGATTTTTCAAGTTTAAGAATCATAACTATATACTATTCTTAGGCTTTATAATTATAATTTTTAACTTAACAGTTTATATTTGTAATTTAAGTTCCAGATGAACTTCCTTACAATTTTCATTTATTTTTTTATAACATTTCATTTCCCCGCTGAACTGCACATCTAAAATTTATGTCAAATTAGCGAGCGCCTCAATGACAAATGCTCGAGCAATAGAAAAGGCCGCAAAGAATGCAATTTTTACAAGCCAGAGTCGAGTTGAGGAAACCGTGGCTTCCTTCCGGGAAACCCACTCTAGTCCTCCTTCCACAGACCCACAGCCTCACTTAAACATCAGCCACATCCTACTTCTTGCCGGAGGGCAACGGAAATTAGTTCAACAGCACTCGTACTGACAACGGCGGCAGTTAAATGTCGTCTAAGAACAGCGATCCTCTAGGGATGGCAAAGAATATCCATAAGCATTAAAAATTATTTTTTTTAAATATGATATTTAATAGTTAACTCTATAATAAAATCAATAAATGGGTTGTAGGCTATAAGATTTATTAATGTTTTTTAATGTTTGTGTGTTAGGCCTTATTTTAGAGTTTGGAAAGTTTTTAATTGATGACCTCTAATTTTTGGAAATCGTGACTGCATTTTCAGTCAATTTTTTTACGCGAACATCTCTAGGACCAATCCTTCCAGCCACCCCAACCCCTCGCTCTAAAATGCAAGCACTTGTTTTTTATAGCCGCAAGTGGGCGGTGGGGCAAGTGGGGCAGAAGCGGTAGAAGGCGCGCGGACATTTGAAGATGATGTAGTGCGGACATAAACATAAATAATGGCAATGCGCAGTTATTACTTTTCTTGGTCTTGGTCTTGGTCTTGGTCGTGGTCCTAGTCCTGGCTCTTCTCCCAGTCCTGGTCTACATCCTTGGGCTGTGATGCTTACATAAAAATTAAATGTAAGTAGGAGACTGAAATTGCAAGCTCCTCCACGGCGCTTCTTGCAACCATCGTATCCCTGGGATGGGTGGGGAGAGTGTCCTTTTTAATTGCATTCTGCCTGCCGCATCAAATGGCAACCGCTTTCCTAATGGGTTAATTGGGCTTAAGGCAAGAGGATCCTTCTGGCCGGGCCGGGTGATTTATCTGTGCTGGCAAATTGACAAACGATTCTGGCTTAATGGAAAAGTTACTCATACGCCATGGATTACGGCGCCGTGCATTATTAATATTCATTTTGGGGCACATAATTTGCACATACTCGTACATCATGGATATGGGCGTAATAAAAGAAAGCAATTGCCATGATTTGGAAAAAAGTTGCAGGCTTGCAGGACCTTGCAGATTGCACGTCCTGGCAACAGGATGCATTCGCCCCCGTCATGCATTAACAACGCCCCCAGCCTGGCTCTCTTTCATAACCTTCTTTCAACAAACCGGGCAAAAAGACTCCGCCAAAAACATAAACAATAAACAGAGCTGAAATGGCGGGGGCACTGCCTCGGGATGCAAGGATTAAAAAGGAACAGGACCAAGGGGTAACGCACTCCGCTAATGCACCAAAAACTGCATCCACCCGCCTCACTTGCTTAAAAATATTTCTCATTGTTGTTGAGACGTTGCAGGTGTTTGCTGAAGCATATCAAAAATATATATAGTACGACTATAGCGACCAAGACTTTAGCCGAGACTTTAGCCGGGCCAAGACGGTGGGTGGGCGTGAGCGTGGGCGGTTGGCTCCGGTTCTTTGAGCCAAGGAAACTGGCTGTCTGGGAGATGTCGGAGCTAGTTCGTGGTTATTTTAATATTTTAGACAATGTTTTAATAAATTACTCTTAAACTTTTCATTTTCGCCCTTTCAATTTTTAAGCTATTCTAGATATTCCAAGATACTGTATCTGCAAAAATATTTTCGTTATGTAACTCACAATCTAGAAATATAATTAACTGAAATTCTCAACGTCTATTAAGTGAAAATATTACTCAATAGGCTTGTCCATATGGTGGTTTTGTATAAAAGGCAAAACCAAAAACGATATTCTTCAGTAAAATTTCACAATGAAGGCACAACTAGCAGTTGGTTTAATATCGTGTGCCTTTCTTTTCAGAATCGCAACTTCTAACGAATTTCAACGAATTATCAATGGTGCATACGCCTCTGAAAAACAATTTCCATACCAGGTATATTACGAAAGCCTTGATTTCTCCAACTTGGAAAAACCGTCTTATTGGAGTTACAAATGCGGAGGGACATTAGTATCGAAGAGAATTATCCTGACGGCGGCACATTGTGTCGACAGTCCTAAAATGTACGTATAGTCCTTAACTATTGGGTTATGACTTATATTCAAAAATTTTAATATATCTCACAAGATATGCAATTCGAATATTTTTTGGAGCCCTTTATTCAAATGGTACGTTTGAACCTGGTAAAAAACGATTGATAGTTAAAAGGAAAGATATTGTGGTTCATGAGAATTGGGAACGGTTTCCAGGCTACAATGATATCGCTCTAATAAAACTACCAATCGATGTTAATTTCAATGAGTATATTCAACCGGCCAAATTACCTTCGCCAAGTGCTTCTTACATTGGGAGGGAGGCCACTACCTCTGGATGGGGAAGGAGTAGATTCGGTATATTAACTAATACCTCAAAATATTCTTTTATAATTATCTTTGTTATTAGCAGAAGTGAGAGGACCAGAACCCCAGCTCAAATACTTCAATGTGGATATTATTTCGAATGATCAATGCAAAATGGAAGAAGACCAAAGACACTATCCATATAAAATATACCCAACATCTTACATATGCATTGGCCCAAGTAACAATTCACCGTGCTACAAAGACTCTGGAGGACCTCTGATTGTTAAAAATGACACGGAAACCGTGTTGGTGGGAATCACATCGTTTGGAGTGCCGGGTTGTCCAGTAAACCATTCAACTGTATACACTAGGGTTTCCTCATACCTGGACTGGATTAATAAAAATGCTGGCGAGCACAATTTAAAGTAAAATTTTATTAAAATATTTATAAAATTAAAAAAATAAACATAAAGAATATTTAAAAAATGTAACTCTTTTTCAAACGCACTCTGTAAAAGAACTGGTTCTTTTCCGCACAGTTTTTAGACCATCTCCACGGTGAACCAGCTGCTGCCTAAAAGTAGGCAACTCCTGTGCCACTTGCCACATGCACACCGAAGAAAGGCCGTCTGCTGCACTCCGCCTTTCTCATTTCTCCGCCGACTGGCAACCCCTTCTTATCCAGTTGCCCGCTTGGCTGACTTGCCTTAATTATGAGTTACTTTTGTGAAGGCATTTTCTTAGTTGTTTTCTGCGAGGAGCCACCCCACCCACCTGGTTGTCCTACCGCGCCCGCCGCGTGCGTTGTTTACTTTTTTTGTGTAGTTTAAATCAACTGAGGTGCGAGGAGGCAGCGGCAGGTGGAACAGTACCAGGCAATTGCTTGGGCTTGTGTTTGGCTTTGGGCCACAATGCAGCGGCCGGGAGTGGAGGGGTGCGGCGAGGGGGCGGATTCCTCTACAACAAAGCAGACAAAGTAGCTTGCGGCATTTGCCGCATTTGGAAGGAAAACCATGAGGAGCAAGAGGCAGCAGCCGGCGCAGGTGCAATAGTGGGGAGGAGTACAGGAGCCAAGTCTGCGGTTGGGTCATTTAGGGGGCGGTGGGGTCGGGTGTCAGCTGCTTATGCTGTGTAATTCCGCGTAAAATGCACAAAGGGACACAACCCGTTAGCTCCTCCGACGAGGTAACTGCCTTGAACCGCAGCGTTTCCACTTGCATGACACCTGCCATTGTTCACAAAAAGTAGACAATGGGGACAGCCACAAGGAGACGCAGGAGATGATGAGTCACTGGAGGAAAGCGGCACAAAGACTGGATCTTGCCAAAATTCATAAAACATTTAAACGGCGTCTTTTCAAAAAAGAAATAGCCTTGCCAGAAAATTATAGGCATGCCTTAGACTCGGCCAAAAGTGGCAAGATGCATAAACACAGGTGACCTACTTAAAAAGAAATAATTATGTATATACTCCTTAAACTTGGAAAAAGAGTACAAAAAAGTTCTCAAAAATCATGAAGAACTATCCTATTTAGTTTACTATCTAATTAGTTAATATTCTCCACCTGATATTAAGTGAATTAAATGAAATTCTTCCCCCATTTAATATTATGTGCAACACACATATTTTCCTCTTCAAACTGGTAACCATTTCCCTTGCAAATAACTCACTTTTAGTTAATTTCCAATTTCCCTTGGAAGTGTTCTAAATTCGATTTAGTTTTATGTGCTACCAGGGGTGGCAGGCAACGACGATGGCTGACCGGAAATGCAACAGGAAATCAGTGTGCAATGCCAGTAAATGTTGCTATCCCGCCACCCACTCCCCGTGTGGCACGTTTTGCACATTTTGCGTTGAATAAACTTTGCCGGCAGTTGTGGCAACGAACAGAGAAAAAGGGTAGCGGCGTCGAGCAAAGTCAAAATAAGTCAAGCTGGAAATATTTTCCAAGCCCTCGCCGACTGAGAGCCCCGCCGAACTCCGAAAAACGTTTTTCCTCGATGAGGAGCGAAGAACAGGAACAACTCCGGGGGCCATTTTGTTATTACAGTTGCTGCAATTTCAGCGTCGACGTTTTGCTGCTTTGGCAACAATTACAAGAGCGCCACTGCCAGTACCAGTAGCAGGGGCAGGAGAGGACTACTTCCAGTCCCAGTACCCTACTCCAGTAGGAGCACCAGAAAACCAGAATCAGATTCATCTGAACCGAAGCAGAAGCGGCAGAATCAGACGAGGCAAGCAACTAACGTGGAACGTGTCGGAGGATGAAACGACAACGGAAAAATACATACCGAGGCAAGAAAAATATAAGCACCCTGTTGCACGTCGGCAGGATGATATGCAGGAGAAGCTTGAGTTGAAGGAGGGTGCAGGGCTCAAGGGCCAGGCTTGTAGTCAGGATGGGGAGAAAGTTGGACAGCTGGGTCGGCGACTTGCCGCCACTCAAGTGAAGCAACAGTCCGCAATCACAACATGCCAGTACACCCACGCAGGGTCCTCCACGCACACAGACAAACAAAATACACACAGATACGAGCCAGTCACGTAAATACAGAGAGAAAAAAAGGTTAACTCAATAAAAAAGATTTGTAAATCATATGAGAATTAAGAACTATAATCTTTAGCTCTGTTTTTTAAGAGTTTACACACTACACATATTATTTGTTAAATAATACTTAATAATAATATATAAAGTCTTTGTCCGAGTGCCTGGCAAACACATTCGGACATATTCGGACACACACTTTACCCACATTTGTCTTCCGGCCCTGACAGCGTCAGTAAATTGAAAATGGCGACCAAATGCACAGCGAAGGCAAGCAGCAAAGTTTACGGACAGCGGTAACGTGAGGCACTGCCACGCCCCTCCCTTTAGCCTTCTTCTTGCCGTGTCCCTGTTCCTGCCACTCTCTTCGGGACTGAGACTGGGTATGGGAATGGGACTGGGTGGTATATCAACAAGGCAACCTTCAGACGGTTAACAGTTTTCCAATTCCCGCAACACGACGACGCATCTCATTGCCGGTCATGAGCGATGCGCTGCGGATGCAGATACATGGCCAAATGGCCAAACAAAATGGCCACAAAGGTAGTGGAAGGATGCCTTATGTTAGCAGAAAAAGAGAGTATCGATGTGCCAGGTTCTTTAAAAGGCTTTTTTATATTATTCAGTTTCTTGCAAACCTGTTGGATTTGTTAACTTAAAGTTTAAAATAGAATTATTTAAAAAAATCTCTTAATAAAGAATACAACAAACCATCTCTAACCATTCCCCAAGTTGTTGCAATGTTTGCTTTGCGTGTCCCTTGACTGTTGCACTGGGTTGGTCCTTTCACTTCTGTTTCAGCTCCTGCGGCTGCAGCTGCTCCTGCTGATACTGCTCCTGCTGCTGTTTCTGGAGCAGCCGTAGGTCCTGGTTAATTGTATGCGACTGAGCAGTGAAGTACTCGCTCCATCTCACAGCTGCCAGCTGCCAACATGCGGCAATTGACATTGATCAGCGCTGACCTTAGCAGGAGGAGGAGCTGGAGCTGGAGCTGAAGCTGGGATGCTGGAACAGTGCATCAGTGGGGGTGGCTCATCCGACTGCTGGTCACTTAATGCGCTTAAAGCGAGACACAGTGACAGTGACAGGATTCACAAAGGCGGTGGTCAGAGGATTCCCCTCATCATTATGCAGATGGAAACACGGAATCGTCCCTCAAGGCATGCAAATGGAATGTGAAAAATGCGCCTACGACAAAAGTCTAAAGTGGGTGGGGGATATGCATCGTAATGAGTAGTTTCCCCAGACCCCGGGGGCACACATACACACACACAGGACACACTTCGGTGCGGCCTGGAGTAATTGCGGAAAATGAATTAAAGGCAATTTGCGGCGACAAAGCGAGTAGAAAGAGGAAGATGTCAGGGAAACGGCGGAGGATGAACTTGCAACAACAAAATGCCAAGTGAAAGCAAACAACGTAAGCTGTTGCTGTTGCAGGAGGCAGCAGACAGGAGGCGGCGAGTGGCAAGGGGCTTGTTGCAGCAGCGATGAGGCAATGTTTCAGGAAGCCGGTGAGCAACCTGCAACAGCAACATTGTCCGGAAACAGGATGAGATCCAAGGAGCAAAAGGAGTGCCAGGAGCAGCGGCAATCGTAGCATGTAAATGCGAAAGGCAAGCAAGGTGCCCACGTCCTCCATCCTACTCCCTACGACCCCTTAGCTGTATCCTGCATAGGGATGTGTGTGTTGAAATTGCATTTAAAAAGCTAAAAGAAAAGCGGATGCAACAATTTGCCATTGTGCAACTGTCAGGTGAAGAAGCCTCTGAGGGAGGACTCCGCATCCCTGCATCCATTTTCTCACCTGTCTGTCTTTTGGGCTGCTCTCCAGGACCTCCTCAGGCAATTTAAGCAAATTTCGAAGTCACACAAGGAGCAGGATCCACTAATGGGCGTAGGGGGTGGTGGGCTGGTGGAAATTGTGCTGAAATATAATGACGGTTACATGCCGCGGAGCAGATTGTGGCAGGAAGAGATTGCTGCCGAAATGGTGAGGCAGGAAGCCAATATTGTGACAAGAAATGGAAACTTTAATAAGGGAAATGGAAATTAAGAAATTTGTATATTTAATAGACTAATATTTTAAAGGAGTTAAGATATCTTTCTAAAGCAAGGCTATTCCTTTATAAGGTATGTATTTTTTAAAGATAAATAACACTCCCTTTAAAAACATGATTGTGTTTAAAATCCCACCACCATTAACCCCTACTTTTTTATTTATTTTTTTGTCCCCCCCACCCAATAACCCTTACAATTGGTGCGAAAAAAATGTCTGTTGAACACTAATTTGGTTTTAATTTGTTTACTTTGTCGTATTGTGATGTGCGTTTTGTTTGCCGTTTCGTGTTTAATTAAAAATGAATTTTTACAGTGAGCAGTCAGACAATGAAGGGAGTGAGAACCACACTTCATTATAGCTTTTGCTGCTACTACGTAGTACGTACTATAAATTACAGTAAAAATAACTCAATTACAAAAATTGTCGATGCCTCAGGACCCTGTTTAAGCGCCCATCCGCCCCGACTCTAGCCACTTTTGAAACTTGGCAACCGTAATGGAAAACATGCGCTTTCCGTTTCCGCTTTCACAGTTGATTTTCGCCAAACAACAAACAAACAATGTGCGATTTTTTCCATGCACTTTTTATTTCCGCATCGATTGTGCATTAAATGTATATAAATTTTGTCTAAAATAAAGCCAGGCCGGGGGCCAGCAACAAAACCTATTAATGTCTAACACAGACTGGCAGATAAAGCCCACACTCGTTCAAACAAATGCAGTTACAACGAGGAAAGTCGACGAATGCAAATAAACACTAAATTTGCATAATCAATTTGTTTATTGATTCGTATAGTCGAACTATTTTAATTACGTTTACGAGGGGGGAAGGAGGGAGTAGAGTTCAAAAGCATACCAAAAATTTTGGCAAAATATAGAAAAAAAGGCCAATCAAACAGAGAAATCATTTCACTTATTGGTAGTTATTATTATTTTTTCGATTTAGCGAAATATGTGCGAAAATTTGCATTTGCCAAATATTTATGAATGTTTTTGGGCTTTAGATTAATAAAAAAATCAAAGAAAAACAGGCATGTGGCTTAAAGGATTATTAAGATATAAAATATTAATACCCTGTACTTACCACAGAATAATTTATTAAAGCAACAATTAAAATATGACAAAGGCAGCCATTTAAGTTTTATTTATAAAAATCTGAAACTTTTAAAACTCAAACTTTAAAATTAAACAGTAATTTAAGTATTGTTTCTCTTGCCAGGGTAAAAATAACAACAACAATTAGCCATTTCCGGTGGCACTGATATCTGTTTCCGTTTTAAAAAAATCATAGCATACTTTCTGGCATTCGCATAAATTTCCTTTTAATGGACACCAGAGAGTAAAATGGGAATACCACCGTGGGGGTGGAGCAAAGTAGAAAGGTGGTGTTTTTTATGGTCGGGTAAACGCTTAAAATGCTAAAAGCCAATTATTTAACGAATTTTTTGCCAGTTTGTGAGGTCAGAAAGCAGTAACCGAAACGCATGCCAATGAAGCGAAAGAATTACTGAATCCTGATTGTTGAATTGTAATTACAAATTACTTTATGATTTAAGCCATTCTTTTTCTGTTAACTATTTCATGCTTAAAAGTGCTTTTGGCCAATTTTCGGTTGGACTATCTCGAAAGTGTGCTTTATTCCGGCTGTCATCCTAGTTGAGAGCCAACTCCATCAGCATCATCGTCAAGTCACTGGACTCAATGACAGACCAGACACTTGTCTGGTGATGTGCCGGCCATGATACTCGTCCTCGGACCGGAAAGCCATAAACCCGGCCCAGAACTAATGTCCGCCAGCCTAAGCACTCACCTCGTGTCAGGGACACGCTCTCTGCTCGCACTGGACTCTTTCGACTGCACTGGCCAGTCCCGGCTGGCAGTCAATCAAGTGAGGCGTTAAAATTTGTTTTTCCTTTCTGTAAATTTTTTTTTTTTCCCCCGTTTGGTGGAAAAACGACGCTGCACAAAATTCGTTAAGTGGCTACAAGTGGGCATAGGACATGGGTCAGGGCTTCTGCTCTAGACTCGAATTCGGTTTCGGAAACGGAAACGGCAACAGATCCGCAGGACCAGGACGCCCTGTCAGCCACAGAGCAAAGTGCAGTGGCAAGTGTTTCCAAACATGAAAAGTTTTCCGCTGCGGTGGCTGTTGCTGTCGCTGATTAAATGAAATGAAAATGAAAAGTTTTCGCGTCCCGCGAGTAATTGGAATTAGCCCGAAGTTGCCGCTGAAAAGGATCCATTGGCCCGGTCCGGCCACTTTTCTCTTGGCCATAAGCAAGTTTAGCCATAGTTGTTTAACCGTAGTTTAAAGTGCTAAAAAGCAGCTAGAGCCACTCAAAAAGCAATCATAAATTTGATGTGCTGGCCAAAACAAAAAGCTCTGCGAAACCGAAAAGAAATGATAATTAAATCACAGCGAATGATGCCAGATAAATCTCACTCTGGATAGATTTCTGGCCAAGAAGGGAGTAGTGGTTAAAGTGGAGGCTGCTGGTGGTGGTGTCCGACCATAGAGTGTGCCACTTGAAAAACTTTGATTAAAATCCTTTTGAAGTGCAAACAAATAGCGCGGGACAAAAGGACACGCCCGACGGGGCTAAAGTCGGAATGCAAAAGGATACGGAGTGTAAGAAGATTTAGGACGGAGGCGAGAGTCAATGTGTGTCCGCACTTTTTGAAGGCTAAGCCAAGAGCATACAAACTTCTACATTTGCATTTCGTTTGCTTTTTCAATACCTAGCATTTAAAATACTGGGGGGTATATAGACTAAGAATACTCTATAATACATAATTTAATTAATAATTAAGAGGAGGTGGAAGGTATAAGCCTTAAAGTTTGAAAAGAGGTGAGCCTTAAAGTCTGTTTCATAAAAAACGTACTCTAATAAGAATGATAGTGAAGGATAAGTCTAAAAATAATTATTTATGTTATATTTTTT